CCCAATCCTCACCAAACGTGGCGCCTACAGTTTCGTCGCCGGCGATCTGCTCCACGACCCCGCCACGGGACATTCGCACTACTCCACCCTCCTTTCCCGGTACCAAATCACCCTCCCCTTCGAATTCACCCGCTCCCATCTCCCCGCCGTTCCCAACCCCTCGTACAAACAAGCCGTGGACAACCACATCCAGCTCTACCACCAAACCCAACAAAGACTCATCGAACAAAATCGACGGAACCAAGAGGCCCAATTGCAAGCCGTGCGGTGGAGAGCTCAGCAACACAGCACCAGCATGGCGTACCTCGTGGCGAGCACGAACGATAAACAGTGGTGGTGTCATCCGTGTAGCAAGGCGAATTACAATGACGAGAGATGCGCTTGTGGGAGAAGGAGGGATGGGTCGGGGTGGAATATGTATTGACGACTTCTGTTCCAAGAACTACCATGCTCCCGCAAAGTACAAGCAAGCAATGGTTGAAAACTAGCGATATTTTGTGCACCTATCGTAATTCCATCATGTGGGATTTGACTAGGGTTAGGCGTAGAAGAGAATGGCACCTATTAACAATATGTAGATAGAATACACTCGAATTCAAAACACCGGTAAAAAAAAGCCCCGGTTTCCTACCTGGCAAGTCTTCCAAAGCGAAAGGGAAAACATTGGTGACAAGCTTGACCAATTTCCGAACCTTATGGAAGCAGAAAACAACCGATGATTCAGTCGAAAACAAATATAGGTTAGGGTTAGGGTTAGGGTGGGGATTACAGGAAGTTTTGAACCTGAATAATAAAGACAAACACTAATCTCTGTCCCACATGGGTCTAGAGGTGGTAGAACACGCACAAGGAACCCACAAACCCTGGCAAAATCACGAGAACGCATTGCAGATACCTGGGACGGCTGAAACAGTCTGGCCGCGTCAAGCAGCCGTTCTTTTGTGGCTTTTTTGGATATCGACATGTTTCTGGTATTCCAGAGCCAATTTGGCTTTGTTATGATTCATCTAACATGCAAGCTAACACATATCTGTAACACGTGCAGGATAAATATGTCGACGGCTATCTCTTCCAGATCCGAGGATTAGCACTTGGGTCAGCAGCAAATGCCATAATGGCAGCCATCAACGTGTTGAAATTCCTTCTTGCCCAGTCGGACGAGCCATTCAGGAGGTGTCTGAGGGTAATGCGATTGACGAATCGACGGAATAAGGAGCAGACTCTTGCTGATAGGGAAAGGCACTCAGCCATCTAGGAGGACGGACCGATTATTTGTGGGTGCAGGTAACTTGGCGATTGACCATGGATTTCCATTATTTACGCGATTTCTGCAACTTGTTCTGACAGAAATGAAAATCTTTGCTTCCAGTTCTTGGAAGCAGTGCATTGTCAAAGAATCATCGTGGATGGATTGTGGGAAGGGAGAAGGGGGCAGGAAGGCAACGTCTTAGTTGCAAGAGAGGTGCAGAAATACCGCGGTCGCTTTTTATGCTGCAATTCTGCCTTCACACAGCAAAGAAGTGCGGCTACTTGCAGATCGAATATTGACGGAAAGCAAGTCCCGCACTTCCCTCCAGAATCATATAGCTGTCATTCATGGCCGGCACGTGATGGTCGTCAGTTCAGTTCAAGAACAGCCACCTGCGTTTTGTCCCTAGCTCTTGGTAACTGATTATCGCTCACAGTGACTACCAGAACAGATTTAGCAATGGGGCCCATGATTCAGTTGAACTGCCGGCTCCCACCTGCTTCCTCCATACGTTCTTATATGAAGCCTCCACCTTTGCATACAACGAAGCATTGATTTCTGCTGTTCCTTCAACAAAAATCTGGAGTTTTTCCAGTGCGGACTTTGGTGTTTCACAAACGTCTTCTCCAAAAATGAGCGAAGAACTGAACCCAATGATACTGCCAACTACAGGTACTTTGCAAGCGACTCCGGTATTCGAAACGTCAGTCTTCAGATGTACGGCAACTTTCATGTAGGCATCTACCGTTGAAAAGATTTAGTAATGTGCGCACTCTGGTGACGTCAGAGAAAACACTTACAACATTGTTTGCATAGCAGTTCGGCTTCTGCTTCAGCCGTTCCGTCCTTGCTCTGCCGTGCTTTACGATAGATTACGATCGGATCTTGTATGACTTTATTGCTGACTAGGTCATAATTGTAAGGGAGACCAGCGATGGGCCATTCTTTGTTCACCAGCTCACTAAAGGGAAGTCTCCGTTAAATGAGTCCTTGATTTGGAAATCAGCCATGTGCCAGTTACTCTCTACGTCTTATAGAAGTTGTGACATGCAGTGGATAGTAGGAGGCTATGTTCGTGCAGACACGAACATATGCAAGTGGTTCTTATATAGGACATTCAAGATCTCTGGTTACCTACCTCGAATATGGGCATCTCGAAAACAATCAAAGAAATTCAATCATTCCACCCTCCCGTGAACCCAGCCGTTGCCGTGGTACTCAAACGAGTTGATCGCACGCATATATGCCCCACCTACACGCCCGCCGTGTTCCGACACGTCACCACATCCCCAAAACGGACTTGCAGTAATAACAGTGCCGCTATGCTTGTTATGCTCCACCATGATCTCTTCCGTGAGATAGGCATTGCCGACTTTGAAACAGAGAAGACCTTCTTTGTACTGAACCGTGCTCACATCTTGGCAATCGATGCAGATCAACTGTTCCAGGTCATCCAAATTCAAAACATACTTGAGGCGTTCACCGCGAAATCGAATGCGAGTACGACTCCCGTCTGGATTCTCATGTTCCACCAAGTGATCGTACTTCAGGGTATCATACGTTTCACAGATCGGCTGAGGATTGTCTGTTGCGTATTCCGCGTTCGCTGCGGTAACACCTGCGAGAATGGAGAGCAGCAAAGCTATTAGCCATAGCCGCAAATGCGTTGGGCCAATGCACTGGACCGACGAAGCGGTGAACTCGATCGATGAAATCCGGATTCAGCACACCTCGGCTGTTTGAGACAGGCAATGCAGTATCCGTAGTGGGATCACATTTCTCATGACGGTCTTTCATAGCCTGCCGAATGTGCATGACATCATGCTCCATGTAATTCACAACACCAATCCGGCTCAACAATAGAAGAGTGCATGACCCTTCAAAGCACTATGCCATCGAGAAGCGTTCCTTCGTATTGTCTCCATTGAGAGTGGACTTGTCACGAAGGTATCCTGCGCGCAATACTAGCGGCAATAGACAGAGAGCATTGTCAAGCTGTAGCGGTACCTGGTAACAGCATGGCAATTCAGATATATGCGCACCATACCCATATTAGGTGCTCACGTAAGCCACTAGCAAGGGCCGACCATCCGAAAGACATTTGACAACTATGGCAAAGCCCCTCAACGTCATCTTTGAACTTGCGCCTTGCAATCTCAACAATGAAATGCCTCTCTGCATTTGATTCCCAGGATTTCCCAGAAACGCAAATCGCACAATGTAACCCTCATGGTAACTCATTATTGTGGCGGGCAGTGGCTTAGTCACCAGACCCCTAACCCTAACCGTAACCCTAACCCTAACCCTGTTAGCACAAATTCAGGGCTTCCAGAGCCATCTTGGTCTTGTCAATAAGTCAATAGCTCACTAAATTATTCAAGTTACTGTCCCATGACAATTTTGATGAAATCAATCAAGTAATTCCAACAAAGTGTGTATTCGCAGGCCGGACTTAGTGTCCGGAATTAGCTTTAAATAACAAATAACTTGTACTACTGCTAAGCATGATACACCAATCCATGCTTTTACAAATGCCCGAGCTATGCTACACTAAGAATGCAAGATACTAGAATGAACACGTGCATTTGTCCTCGACATTTAAGGTTTGCTGGTGATTGTCCGCTCAATGTGTGATTTTGCGCAGTGATTGCCATGCAACCTGTGAGGGACTCGTTGACTATTCACAATACTAACTAAGCCTTGGTAACCAACTGGGCTGATCCTACTGACAACACCAAATACGGTAAATTGACAGCACTGGCCTGCGTGGACCTCCCCAGTTACAAGCACGCAATCTCCATGTTGTTTTCTCCGATCGTTATTTCTTTTTTTTTTTTTTTTTGGGATTGAGAAAGGATCAGTATACCTCCTTCAGTTGATAGAGGGATAAAAGAGTGGATCTCTTCAGACAATCCCTTCATCAAACAACCTTCAATCCTCATAGTGAGCTCAACATGATCGTAAACCAGTCTAGCATTATTCTCGCTCTTGGCTTGACAGCCGCGGTTGCCACCCCTGTTCGCCGTCAACTCCCACCTTCCACCCGGGTTCAGATGCATTCCTCCTGCAGTGCTTCCCAAAAGCAAACTCTTAACAAGGCTCTCGACGACATGAACAAACTGACTATCCATGCCACCAAACGCATTCTGGACAAAACCTACGAGGACCCTGTGTGAGTTTTGTTTTTCGTTGGAATCATATATGCAGTTCTTGAATATCAGACACGTTGTTTTTAGATACCAGACTTACTTTGGTAATGGAGAATCTGCCACTGTTGTGGGCTATTACGGAATCCTGACTGCCGGGTGAGCACTTGTTCACCACTCTTCTCTCCTAAAGTATCATCTCTCCCTAACCCTGAATTCTGAATTCGTTGCACAGCAACCAGGAAGGTGTTCTTTTCCGACGTCGACAACAAATGCTCGCAACCCGGTTGGGCCGGTCACTGGCGCGGGGAAGTCGCTCCTTTGGAAACCGTCATCTGCCCCCTCTCTTTCAACACGACTGCCCGTAAACCTCTCTCCGCCCTCTGCCAGGACGGAGACCGCTTCTCGCAACACAAGACCAACTACTTCCTCTCCTCCGATTTGATGCATAGGCTTTTCCATGTACCCCTCATCAACCCCGAGGAACGCGTCGACCACTATGCCTCCAATTACACTGAGGTCACCGCTCTCGCTGCCGCCGACGGTGATAAGGCCGAACACAATCAGGATTCGTACATGTACTTTGCCTTGGATGCGTACGCCCGCGATGACGTCAATCCTCCTAATGGATGCGTTTGATATCGGATAGGGATTGTTGTAGTAGAGGCTTTGGATTCATGAGTTGTAGAAAACGGAGTCGGATATAGGGCAGAATATATTTTTTTGTACCGCTTTATAAACTTGTTATATGATGTGCAATAAGTGACTACGTCGAGATTCACAATTGCTTTTGATGCTGATATGGTGTCATCGAAACAATTCATTTAACCATTCCATTTTGGGTTGAATATATATTTTGTACCAATTGCTGGATTCTCACTGAGTTCTTTTCATTTCACCGTGTTGTGTGCATTTCAGCTCACAACTTGGGCAATATGACCTCTGCAGATACGTGCCTATGATACAGACATGAGTTACACCTCAATGGGGAGATTGATGCATAGGAAACTGAGACAGGTTTTTCTCGGACGACTTAGGCATTTACTCCGCTGTCCGTCCAAAGATTCTCATTGATTTTCTTTGGGGTCGGACTGCTTCCAGAACCTTGGCCGACATCTGATCATTGAGCCGTCTGGAAGAAGGTCATCTGGAATGGTACTTGGAAAGACGACCTGTTCATTCAAGATCGCGGTTCCATTTCGTTCGCCGCTGTGGTTGCGCTCCCGCTCAGATAAGTACTCTTGACTTGCTGTGACTTCCTTTGAAGAATGCAATTGACTCTCGTTAATAGGAGGTTTTGTTGGAACTGTATGAAAAGATTGGTTCCACGAGTACCCTATTGTACACGAGAAAGTTGCATATGCTCTCACACATCAGCTGGTCGAAGCACGAAGTCCCACTAGTAATCTAACAGGAAAAGGCGAACGACGGCGAACGACCGCAAGCGACGACGGTGAAACGACCTGCAATATTAGAGAAAAAACCACGGGGTAGATGCCGCCGGCCAAGGTGTCGTCGCTACTGTGCACATAGGACACCTTTACGACCGCAACACGACTACATGGCGGCAGTGAAAGAGCGAAATTGGATTACGAGGTAACCAAATATATGTGCCCTTCTGTGTTATGGGTGTAAGATACGGAGGTACGCGTCCATTGTCTTCCAACAGACGTAACTGAAGCAGCAGAAAGCAGGCCCATGAAAGTTCTTCCACTTCACAATGCATATGATCGATTTTACTGACCGCCAATCGCGGGGAATTGTTATAGAAATGGTATGTCACTACACACAAAAAGTGAGCACTTTACGACGCTTCCTCCTCATGCAACACACCATAACAATTCCCAGCCAGCACCGCCAAAATATCTACTGCTTTCACCCCGCCGTCATCTCCTTTCTCTTTCCCGTCCTCAAACCTATTATCTCCCAACGGTCCAATAATCCTCACACGCTCAACCCCACGTCCTGCGAGGTTGAGCGCGTTGGGTTGAGTTCAGTTATGCAATCCCCCCAAAATGTGGAGTGGTACCGATGGATACCAACAAAGATCTGAGTGGGAGTGCAGACAGTAACATGAGACTGTTTTCTGGTGAGACTATATCAAGAACATCGGAGGCCTTACCTCTAGCCGGCCGGGGAAATCTTTGGCCAAAGTTGTTGGAATGCTTGCGCAGATTTTAGAGAGGAGGGGGGTCTTGCATGGCGTTGATGTTACTGTGGTGGAAATGGATAATAATAGTGAGTTCATTATGAGGGTCATCCATGCAGGGAGAAGTGCCGTATTTCCTTCCAATGGCCTTTCCGATAGAATAGAGTCTGCCGTCGCTGAGATCAACTTCCCAGTACCCGATTTTGCTGCTTGAGGATCGTTACGTACGTCGGATAAATCTTGTGCTTTCCAGCCGGCGTTGAGGATTTTCATGCACTGTCTTAAGTCCAGCCTGTTTGTGGATCTCATTGCTTTTACATATTCCCACATCCCAGGAATTATGCGCCGTAATGTTGCCGTAACCGGTCCACCCATTTCAGGGAAACATCAAAGTGCTTTACTCGTTATGTAAGATCTGCTAACAAGCAATACATGAGAACAAAAGGTCAACGATATGTCGTCTTTGGGCTGCAAGCGAGTTGCATGAAGCTTACCCGATCAAACATTTCAAGACCATGTTTTACGAGATGTTCCGCTGTTAGCCCTCACCCTAACCCTAACCCTACGATCATCAAGACACGTTCTCCTGTCCTACAGCCCGCTGGGTCTGGAGAAGGCTTCATAAACGGCTCTCCCTCCGCTCCATAACCATTTTCACAACACAGTACTGGACCAGCTCGGACGAATGATTCAACTGCTCGCCAGGGCCATGTGTAAAAAACATTCTTTACCAGTTTCAACCCATTCAAGGAAAAGCAATCAATTTCCGTATTGTCTGGTAACTGCCGTTTTGGACCAAGTCGACTTCGAGGCCTTTGCACACCTTGCCAGTGGTGGAGGCGGTGTACTGGGGCCTGATAAATTGAACAGTCCCGGATTGTAGAATGTCATTCAAGTGCTGTTTCTTGATGAGGTGGTGACAAAAGTCGATGAACAGGAATGAGGTTGGCACATGGAGTCGCTTTGCTGATGAACTCATTTATTTCCCTGATCTCATCCATCCGCCCGTTGACTCCTGGCAAAATCGCCAAAGGAGCTACTCCCCTATCTTGCTGGATGAGAACATCAGAACGTGAGCAGAATATCTCTACAGCCGCATTTTAACCATCTTAAATGTGACGTACGTATCATGTTGCGATACGGATGCAATCAGATGAACAACTATGTAGGTTACGATATTGGCAGCAACCCTTGAAGAGATTCTCTCATCTTGAGTTCTCTAACTAGTCTAAACTAGAAGAAAAACCTCTATTTATACAAACTAGTGCAAAGCACACGTATGGTGATCTGAGGGTGGATCGCATTACCACACATCAGCATTGATATCCACCAAGCTTGTCAGCCACTCGATCCCGTACCCGGAAGAGTCTCGTTCGACGACCCAACCACTGCCGTCTTTTATCAACTACCAAATAGCGTCTCTTACGGCCACTGTGAGTAGCGGCAGCCCTCGCATACCGTTTAAGTTGTAGGAGGCGTTTCTACTCTTCGTCACTACAGAGGGAGACAGGATACTTGTTCACCTCAACATAAGAGTCAAGGCAAGGAGGTCATATGGGTTTCGGGAGTCACACCAAGAAAAGCGGGTTATGGGGAGTTTGCTTGTTTGGCATTTTGCTTTGGGAAAAAGGGGGAAACGACGGGAAGGTGTGGAGGGAGATTCAGAGTGCAGTCAGTGAAGGTGTAACGGGGAGGGTACTCACGGTGGCACGGGTCTATCCGTCACGTGCATTGTCGCAATTTAGCACCACACTGTACGGGTACAACAAACGAGTCCCTCCATAGTTATATGCGGTGTGCACACTTCAAACTTCTCGTTGCTCCGCTCGTTGTCCACTCCTCCATCTACCAACTTTACTGTTCCTTGAATCCTACTACCTGCTCAAAGAATGGTTACCATCGACCGCATCACTCTCGGATGCAATATCGCCACACTCACAGCAAAAGTCACCGCTGTGAATAAACGCATCGTCAGCGACGACTCACGAAAATCTAACAAGACGGAACCCACAAAAAAGCGAACGCTAATGGAAGTAGAAGTGACCGATCCAACGGGAAGGATTGTCTTAATATGTTCAGAGAGTGAGTGGCTTTGAATCACGCGCTGCGCTAGTATCTCACCTCATTGTCACTCACGAGGGTTTCTCAGGCTATACCTCTGTTGTAAAGTACGGACGTATGATTCATATAACTGGAAGAACTACATGTTACCGTGGGCGCTTGCAAATTCAAGGTCATATTTCACAGACCATCTTCCATACCTCGGCCGCATGAGGACTAATCTCGCTGTGATGTTGGTTTGCCTTTATAGTGGGTGACAAATGGGGATCGATCCACAAAGCCGCTGGTGGGGAAAGCTTTGGCTGCTTGGAGTTTTCTGCTGTCAACAACCTCTCTGAATGCGTAAGTTTTGTAATACCGTTCTTTACCTACTCTTTGAGACTATTTTCTGATCTTGTGTCCGGGTTTAAAGGTTCGTGAATATGGGGTGCTTCTCCTGAACCAAAAGAACACGGGCACGATTGAGTTCCTTCTTGTCCAAAACCATAAAACGCACGGCGAGCCTCTCTGGACCGTTCCGACGGAGATCCCCTTCCTTAGAGACACCGAGAAGGACGCAGGTGAGCATATACCAAATTTTTTTTTTACTTTGGGCGTGGCTTTTACGAAAACAAACATTTGACAATCACAACAGCGACCCGCGCTCTAATCAACGCGACCGCCGTCACCGAATACGCGTTCGCGCTTCTCCATCAAACTCCTCCCAGCCTCGTTTCTTCCTCTTCGGACAACACGAAGCGATACATTTACATGGGCCTTGTTAACCCACTCATAGCAGATTCCGGGGAACTCGGAGAAAACGTAGCGTGGTTCACAATGGACATGATAAAAAACGAACAAGTGAAGGTTGAGGAGTGGGTTATCAGTCTTTTGACCGAAGCTTTTGCAGCTAAGCAAGGCGGCGAGAAGGAAAACATTTCCGCTGTGGTACCCATCCCGCCGAAATCAGTTCCCATCTTAGCAGCACCTCCCAAGAAAAGACTACCCGTGACGGTCTTATCAGGATTCCTTGGAGGTATGGTAACCATCGCCCGGAGATAATACAGCAATCGGAATACCTTATTCGATTTCAACCAAATTAGCCGGAAAGACCACACTACTGAACTCAATCCTAAACAAAACCCACAATCTCCGTGTTTGTGTCATTGTCAACGACATGGGTGAGATCAATATTGACTCAAAACTCATCGAGAGAGGTAAATCCTGATGCACGCGTTTCGGTAACGAATACATCCACCGGACCATTCATACTTCTTCGGTATAACACAGAAGGTTTCACCAATACTGATGAAAAGTTGGTTGAGTTAACAAACGGATGCATATGGTAAGCGAGTAGAATGATACGAAATGAAGATCCGTGTGATACCCACTCCTTACCGTGTACCATTAGCTGTACTCTACGAGAAGACTTGCTCGAACAAGTATCCCATCTGGCCTCGCTGAATAAGTTCGACTACCTCCTCATTGAATCTTCCGGTAGGTACCCCTCCGCATATCATTGCGTAGTGGCAGAGACTTACAGAACATTGTTATTCATTGATCTGATCTTTTCCTTATATAGGTATCAGCGAACCCCTCCCCGTTGCGGAGACATTTGAATTTGAAACAGACATTCCCGGTTACAAATCCTTGATGGATGTGGCCAGGCTGGACACGATGGTTACTTTGGTCGACTCGGTATGGCCTGATGCGCTTATTGAATTGGCGCTGCTGTTGACATTCTCCTCAAACCAAGGTAAACTTTCTGAATGACTTTTGGACATCGGATACGTTGCGAAAACGCCGCTTGAACAGCACATCCACTGATACACGAACGATTGTGGAGTTGCTCCGAGACCAGGTCGAGTTTGCAAATGGTAAGGAATAGGGGGCAGCGGAAAATGGCGCGAGCGTTTTGCAAACCTGAAGAGTCACACCACACTTTTCTTACAACATCATCATAGTTCTTATTCTTACCAAAACAGATCTTGTTTCCGATGAGTATTTGAATAAACTCAAAGCTATCGTAAACAGTTTAAACCCTGCAGCGAAGATTCTGTTCTCGTCTCACGGAAACGTAGACCCGCAAGAGATCTTGAATACTGGACTCTTTTCCCTCGAGAAAGTCAGGAACAACAAAAATTGGCTGCTCGAACCGCGGTGAGTAACTTCACCTCATAGCGACGATAACTGAAAGTGAGCGTAACCGCATGCAATCAATTCACAGGGGATCGCACATCCCCGAAACAATCGAATACAACATTACTCATACAGTCTTCACATCCCAAACTCCCTTACACCCCACTCGTTTATGGAACCTCGTGCATCGTTCCGACACCATGTCATCAGTCATTCGATCGAAAGGATTCGTTCATTTGGCTACTCAACCCAGGTATCCCGTTACGTGGTCTCACACCGGAAATATAACGACCTTTCGTCTCGGTGGTGTGCCATGGGAAACGGAAGAGGATCGATCCCAGTGCTTGGTTTTTATTGGGATTGGGCTGGAGGTGGAAAAGGTAACGTGCAGCGGATAGACTTCCTTTAACCCATGCTGCTGTTGGTGTGATTGGGCGATATACACTGACGATTGTGATTTTCTTCATTTCTGATCATTTTGTGCCTGCTGCAGATTCACAAAGAGCTCGGCAAGTGTTTGTTACGCCGTAAGGAGTTGGCGATGGGCGAAAGATTTTGGTTGAGGGAATTTTATGATCCATTTAGGGAGGTTTTACACAAGTGATGGTAACAGTAACCCGAGCGCTTTCTTGTTTGTTTGTATGTTAGCCCTTTATAGTACATCTCAGCTATCCACCACCATTGTAGGAAGGATGATAAAATCGCATTTGATAAACGCTATGTATTTGGAGGTTCTCTAGGATATACGGCTACTCGCACAGTAACTTTGACAATAGATTATTGAATATGGAGTTGATTTCATTTTGCCATGTCAGGATTAGTGTTGGACATTGTCCGACATGTCTCATTGGGTTTTCAGAAGGTCTCTTGACAAGTTACCGTGCGGGGTGTAAAATTCCGAGCTCTATGTTCGCTAAGCCGCGTCATTTCAAACGATTGCGCCATAGCTAAGCCACAAGTCAAGTACCTCCCCAGTTACAGACCCCGAGGGCTACTCAACTTCGTTTCCATCCAGTTATTTCCTTTGCTGATCTGTCCCGTATCAACCACACACAAAGGCATATATCAAATCTCTTTCCACCATGCAAGAACTACTGGTCATTGGCGCTGGTCCACACGCTCTCGCTCTCCTCGCCACTCTCCTAGAATCTACACCAGACAAGTACCTCGAACACCCGGAGAACGGTCTCCTCTTCTACCGCACGCGTCCAGATGCTGGAGACTCTGCTCGTACATCCCACCTTCTCCTCGCAAGAGATACTCACTATGATTCCTCGAGACGACCAAGGAAGACGGACAGAGACGCCGTGGCTCGAGTTTTGAATGGACTTGGCGCCCGTGGTGCCAGATGTTCTGTTCACAAAAAGGATCGAGGAATGATTGATGCTCATGTTGATGAAAGAGTTAGAGGACCAGGCTCTTTAAAGACAGGGCTAACAGGTTCTGGTGCTGGTGCGGGGATCTGTCCGCCGGTTGAATGGATCAAGGAACACACTCTGGTCCTCGACAAGCTCGGTGGAACAGGGTATGCTGGTGGGAAAGAATGCCGCAAACTAGGAACGTGGATGTCGCTGTGGAGAAAGCAGATGGAGTTTTTGGTAAGTTAACACACAACGTCAAGTGTTCTCTTGCATAGTGCGAGCTGGAATCCCTGAACTTGATCCTTTCTTCAGCGGGTGCCGCATCTTCGCAGTCCCATCTCACACCACCCCGACCCTATCGACCGCTCGATTCTATGGCAGTACGCCATGGCAAAGCGACGCACATCAGATGCGGACTTGGTTCCATTGCATATTCTCCGTGATCGCTCTTATACCGGACCGTTCATCTTACCCTCTACTGAACTATTCTGGAGTTTCTGCGCGGACTCACTTGTTAATGGTTTTGGAATAAGAGACCTGGTGCAAAGCGGGGAAGCTGTTGATATTGTCCCGGTTCCATGTGGATGTTCTGTGGACGATAATCAGGACCTTAGTAACGAACAAAACGCACAAAGTAAATTCTGCGATCATTTTCGAGTGGAATTTAAGGACGGACGATTGGTGAACGCGCGGAATGTGGTGGTGGCAGTGGGGTCCAGTTCCTGCGAACGGAATATACCTGCATGGGTAAAGACGTTGCCTCCGGGATATCCCAAGCATTGCCTTTGCCATTGTTTCGACATCGCGTTGGATGATGCCACGTACCTAAAGTCCTTTAGTTCAGCAAAGAAAGGGCCGCTCCGGCACAAGTCTGTAGTAATTATTGGAGGAGGAATCACCAGGTAAGACATTGGAGGAGGGCCGCTGACTTTTTCGCTGCTTGACAGCTCGCTAATCGACCTCACGCCCATGTTCGTTGCAAACAAAAATAGCATTCACGTCTCCCGAACTGCTTTAGACCTCGGTTGCAACTCCGTTGTGCTCCTCTCCCGTTCCAAGCTCCGCATCCAACCTTTCGACGTCGACGTTCGGTGGGTTGGCCCGCATCGATCCACCAATATAGCACAATTCTGGTCGGACAATGAGTACCAAAGCCGGGCACACCGCCTTCGTTTGGCCAGATTTCCTCCGAAGGCGGATGAGGCCTACTCTGGGAGTGGCGCAACGATAACGCATGAAGCAATGGAGCTAGTAAGAGATGACTTGGCTAGCGGCAAGATGAGTGTAACGCAAGAAGTTGAAGTCATTAGTGCAAAGTGGTATGAGGAGGTTCCGCAACATGGAAAATGGGAATTGCTTTTGAGCAATGGATCGACGATTGCTTGCAATATTATCTGGCAAGTAGTGGTGCTCATTTACTGTGGAATTGCTAAACACTAACAAGAGCTCATCCACCATATGTTTGCAGGCTCGCAACCGGCACACGCAACACCGTTTCTACTAATACCCTCCTACACACCGTCGCCAAACACTACCCCATTCCCATACAAAACGGTCTACCCTCCCTTCGCGAAGATTTATCCTGGTCCCGCAACTGTCCTGGTTTATTTGTCATGGGATCTTTGGCGGCTCTTCAAGTCGGACGGGGTGCACCGAATTTGATGGGAGGTCGGGCTGCCGCAGGAAGGATCAGTAGAAGTTTGATAGAAAGACTGAGGAAGGCTTATAGAGCTGGGCAGTAGCATTTGGAAAAAGTGTCTAAGGCAGCTATGCCATACGTAATTGTATTCGTTTAAAAATAGAGAGTGAAGTTTCGAGTGATTCCGGTGTCGTCGTCCAGAAAGAAACCCGAAACCTTTGAAAATGGGGTTCTTCGGTTTACATCGCATGGTTTCTTAGATATTTTGATGATACAAGATGATCAGTTCATGGTCCAACCCCTGCCCTAACCCTCTTCTGGGATCTCCATGGGCGCTTCCGCTGGGGGTTCTTCAGTAGGAGGAGGAAAGCCTTTTTTATGAGCATATCTAACCCTCTGAAGGTACATTCTGGTTCTGATCTGGTCTTCAGTATAGCTTCTTTTACGGGCAAGAAATGGAGTTCTTTTCTTGGTGCCCATGGCGGCCGGTCTGAACTTCAGAATGTCGATACTTAATGCTGCGCACCAATCCCCAAAAGTAGCCCTCCCATGTACCTAGCAAACACGTAGAACAGAGCATTTGTGGAATCAGTGGGGATTTTCAACTCCCATAAAATTCTGCAAACAAAATGAAAACGTGCGCTCGTGCCTCATGTAAAAGGGCATTTTAAATCCTGCACAACCTAAACCAAGAGTCCGACAGTGGTCTTGATAGTGATGAGTCCGCAACATCACGCGGTCATGCAACTTCACTTTAGCATCACAGATCATCTGCGGAGCCACATGGTGCGCAATCAGGATTGCCAATGCAAAGGACCTAAAACGAGAATCAGTCAAGTTAGAAGTGCTTGATCAAATCGATTGAGACGTGGTCCAACCCCTGCCCTAACCCTTTATCCATTTAGGCTTGTAACAATAGGCATTATATAGCCTAAATATTTACTCATTGTGTGAGGGTGAAAATAATGACATATGCCATACAGGTTTAAATTGCGTGCTTCCTGCCCATCCTCCCACAGCGGTTAGATCTAGCTGATCAGCTTCATCCGCGTCTCTGATTATATGAGATACCAAAATGGGGAGTATCGATTCTTTTGATTCGCTATTTTGTATCTGTTGGTATGCAAGCATTGAACCTGCTTTAACACCAGCGCCACTAAGCTTCGGCTATGCTTAAAAGATGAATACATCGCTACAGGTGGTGAATGTGGTCATGTGCTCCAGCGCCTTCTTCGCTTGATTTTGTGAAGTTTCAAGCGGCATGGATGGTCCTCCATCGCTACCCAAATTCTAAGTACTTGCAGATACAGAACCCTTGTGGCACCAGATTGCCGCTATAGCATAATAAACAGCACCGTAAATCCTACCCTCACCCTTAATCTGTAGACATGCCCGTTCTGCCATAATTACACCGGGAAAGATTTGCGAGGTTTCCGAGGCCCTCTAGCAAGAGTGTCGTGCTAATTTGTAGTGGTATAGTGTTTTTACAAACATTTTTATTCATAGTACACCCACCGGCGTCGGCGACCTACACTGGCTCTCGTTCAGGTTGTTCTTTCGATGCGATTCGGGGTTTTGATCTCTGATGCCACCACGGTAAATCTTATCTTGCCTTGAGCACATGATGCGGGTTGAGCTTAAATCAGCAGATGAGCAGCAAGATAGTCCTTTGAAGTGAGCCAGCGAAAGGGATGTTTGAGGGTTGCACGTCGCGTGGGTGGTCTTATCACTGCGCTGTTTTGATCATCCCTAGAGATACCCCTGCAAATCCACAACCTGCGACGAAATCATCGGGCGCAGTAGGACCCAGGTTGTTAACTCCAACCTTTAGGCTCATCGGCATTTTGTTTCCTAAAATTTTGCAACACACCGACAAACGACTTGAGAGACTTACAATTACATCCGTCCTATTTTTGAAAGTGTAGATGGCAATATATACGTATATGCCAGCTTACCCATCATGTATAACAAGTTCCATGACGCAAGAGACTTGACCGCATACCTGCGCACATATGTGGTCTCGGCATGTTATTGGTCGGATGTGGTTTGCACGGTTCCAGGCGTTTGTTGCCGTTACTTCTAAGGCACATGCGTTTGCTGTAGCTACTGTCGAGGACCATAGGTCAAAATCCTTCGCATGTAAAATTCGTTATCTTTTGCCCTGATACAAATAAGAGGTTTTTGATTCATCCATCGAGTCCATCTCACATCGATAGGGACCCTAGGACATTCAGCTGAAAACTGAGCTTAAAAATCGAGAAAAAAAAATGCCGACCGGCGCGGCGAAGGAATAAGACACTCAAGTATCAATAATGTATAGCACATGTATATTGTCAGGACCAGACATTGTCAGGGGCGAAGGCAGCCAACCATAATATATACAAGATAAAAAACGAAATCCTATGGCCACCGTAGGAGCTGACTACAGTAGAATCCGACAGATGGTATCTATAAAGCGGCGCACCAGCGCCAAGTGTTTTCCCCACCCCAAAAAAAAGTACCCAATGAAGCGACTTTACGCTTCTCGAGCGAGCTCCTGCATAGCTGTCTCTGCATAATGAGTCTCGGCTCTTGCATTCCAACGCTTGGACCGTCGCGGCCCATGTTTCTTTGACCGCCTCCTTGATATGCTGCATTCCTCTTCTACGCTGCACTCCACATCGGCCTCTGCCCCGTCATTCTTTCCGCGCCAATACATGCTTAATGACCACCGCGGTCGTTTCAACTGTTGCGAAGCGCCCATGTCGCTATGTATCCGTATGCGTGTTTCGGTTTTCGTTTCAGGGTCCATGTTGCATGGGTCGACGAGGCCCTTGACACCAACACCGTCGTAGGTAGTAGGGTATCGTGAAAGTTGCGGGCCTGGGCAGTTGAAGCACGGTTCCTCCTTCTCAGGAGAGGCTGTCAAGTATCCGGTGCCGTTGCACGCGGGACAAATGTCAGCAAGGTCGTCGGCAGACCAAGCAGCAGGTAAAAGGTAGAGCGTTTCAGTGGATTTGTTGAGAGTTGTCTGAGTTGCCGTCATGCTCAAATTCGAAAGTTACTTGTTCAAAGGGCGATTGCAAGATAAAAAGGTGTTGTTGTCTGAGGTAAGAAGCGGGGGGGGACGACAGTGTGGCTTGCCTTTTATAGTCCCCACCGACAACCAAATCGCAGGGACGCTTGATAACGTTGACTCATTTCCGATCATTCTATTTTTAAAGTTGTGGTCACACAAAACAGTTAGAATGTCCTTATGACCACAACGATAATGAACTGCTGCTCAACGGGTCGCCTTCTGATTGGTGGAAATGCCGGGCGCATACGGCATCAGCAACAGCGTGTCAGAGATTACACAGCACACGTTTTGAGTTTTTTGATTATCAAATTCTTGGCTTGTCAGAGTTGCTTCCGGTTGGAAACGGGAGGTGAGCTTATTTACGAGATTTTATTGCCGAGCATTGGGCCCCGCGTTATGAACAGAATGTGCCAAGAATACGGAGCTTTTCTTGACTTTGTTGCAACGGGAGAGTTTAGATGCTCGGACTTTGGATGAATGCGGAACACATTTATGGGTAAGAACGTCATGAGTAATGGTTTTTTCATTTTTGCAAAAGACATCCCTTTTTTCGGACCCCAAACGGGATAATAGTTCTTCATGCCAAAAATACTCGTAACTTATAAACAGATGCACATATGGTGGTAACAGTTCACTCAGTCTGTCCAACGCGTGCTATGCTGAGAGAAACACAGGAATTCCGGGAACGGGGGAGCTGATATGTCGCGCAATCCCGCTCCCCTCTTGGCATTTTGACACTTTTTGAATTTTGCATATTAAATTACGTTATGTTGCGATAAGTTTTGCCCAATATTACAATCCAATACATTACAGGTATATGTGCAGTAAGGTGCTTCCATCTGAGACTTCAACTTGATATTAAAGTGGAACTGTTTGTTAATGTCGAATGCGCTGAAACAATAATCAATGGTTAGTTACATTTGTTGATCCAGTTCCAAAGCTGTTCGCGCATTGATGAGTAACACTGTGTCAACCTATTTCGGTTGATATTGATCATGAGGTTTTAGGTGAACATTAGCCAATTGCAACTAGCACACCCTCACCGATGCATTTGTAACTGGTGGGCGGATCGTACGTTATGCAGGATGGGAGTTCTAGGCTTTTGATCCGCTTGCTGTGCAGTCCCTGACAGTGAAACCGCCACATTCTACCAGCGGCAAGCCTCTCATTGGGTAACTTGCCAGCAGTTTGCGTTAAATATCGGACCGAAACGTATCGCAAAAGGTTAATCGGTATTCAGCAGCGGAAGTTTTCATGCAGCATCCTAGATAGAGATTGAAACTGCTTCGCGATCACAGGTACTACCTTTACCTCCTCGGAGACAAGTAACAAAAAGCATTAACATGCGTTGAGTTTTTATCGTTAAGTAAGAGTTACATTAACTATTCCCAATTCGCCAATGGTATTAGGAAATTGCTCATCGCTGCTTCCCCACCATTCTATGATGGGAACCTGCAATTTTATTGCGGTTCGCCTAAAGAACCGGTGTTTATCAGCAGCAACCCTTGACGCTTCGTCCATCGCCAAAATATATACTCTGGATCTTGAGATATGAGCCAGATGAAGCTGGCGTTTTGCTATTGCAATGGGCACGCACCACTGAACGTATATCAATTCCCACAGGATTGACAGCCAGAATGATACTGCTTCGCCAATGTTGCAGTGTCCCTTCGCTGATCTCTTCAAGCATGTTGACACAATTTGCAATTTCCGCCGTGCATCATCTGATATCCTTGGCTACTTGCGCCCATGAGACTACCTTAAACATAAGAAGAGAATGCTGCAAACGTTTAACATCGAAACTGCTGTCGGTCCGAATTTTTCAGTATTGGAGTTCACGATACCAGAGAATACCTCCCAAGTCTCCATAAGGGGTGAATTCGTTGAATAGGATACTCTCAGCGTCGTGAGTTTGATGTAGTGCGTAGTTCCAGCTGCTCAGTGGAGGGGGGCTCAAACATTGATCGCTTGCTTGTAGACCTGGTTTTGGTTACAAGCTGCCCTGCAACATATAGCAGGGTCCTTGTGTGCCGCAGAGTCTCGCGATGCAAGTGTCGAGCTCAGCTCCAGGATCCGTGTGAGAATGTGGTTCCCAAACATGGCAATTTGGAACGAGAGTTTGGACTGGTGAAATTGTTTCTCAAGAATTTAAATTATCACCTCAGTTCCGTCCTATGAACGTGGTGATAGGTTTCCAGATATGTGTACGACTAACATGAAGCTGTCACGGTTCTCGTCAGGGATGTGCTCCACGGTCAGCTCCGTAGGTTCCAAACTCTAATTAGACGTCACATGAAATCTAGTACCTACCGAGGGGACACTTGTTGTCGTGAAGCCATACGCTCATAGATGGTGGACGCAGCGCAATATGGAGTTGCAGCCTTAGCTACGGTTCCTGTGCGCGAGGGTTTATAAATATCATGTAAGCTACCCCACTGTGTACTCTGCTTTTGTCGACCTCTTTGAGATCCAGAGTTAGCATCAAATTGCCACTAGAATATCTTCGTCGACTTCATGTACTCCCTCCTTTGATGGGAAAGGCTGGGTCAGGAATAGTGTGAGCTATCGTTCTGCAGATGGCTGTACATACTTGAATCGCAAACAGATGGAAGCATTGTTATTAGGAAGAAGGATATCCGTCTTACTGCTCTCACCACTTCAACAAGCAGTCCAATCAATCAATCACAATCGATCTTGCGTTACAGCATCAGCTTTCCATCATTGAAGCAACTACGTTCTCCATGACGCTTTTCGTTGCGCCTTCTTCACTCTTACTCCGTGCATGATGTCTTTATCGGTTTACCTTCCGAGAGACGTCTCATGCTAACATTATCCTTATCTCATCTACAGGGGCCAACTGTCAATGCTACTTGCATCGCAACTGATTGTCACATTATCCGCAGTTCGCGACAAAGGCTAGATGACACGCTCCCTGGAAAAAAGACACTCCCCCAGAGAAAACAATTTATCATTGTACATCGCCGTTTGCCTTGGAGTGTAATCCCATCCGTCAGTAAATTGGAGGACCCTCACGCTGAGGGTAAATCAGTCGTAGAAATAATAATTATTTAAAGGATTCGTTAAAAGACTTCGGAAGTTGTTTCAGAGATTCGTCATGTGTATCATGGCGTGCACGTCGAACATCAAAATTCTATAGCTGCAGACGAACGACTATCGTTTTCCTGTATCTTTTCGTCATGCAATGATTGTTGATCCAATGGCGATGCTTCCAAGAAGTCAGCAACAGCCACACATGACGAACTTGAATCCCCCACATGTTTGTCGCCCGAATTATGCCCGATTCAGGCTTGTCAATCATGTCTTCGTCCACCCTACAACCTTTATGCTTAAGGTTGCCTCAACCTAAACAGCGAGCGAATGAGGCAAAGCTGGCAGATAGGGTCCTGCCAGACATGCAACAGAAGGGAAATAATATTTGCATCCATTAGTCCGACACTACATACTCAAGATACTACATCTGGCGCTAGCTCTCTTTGTCGGTCAGATACGACGACGGTACTGTCTTCACCTGTTGCCAATGGGTTCATTTAAGAGGAGGGGTCGGGAGACAGTTGACGCAAACTAAACCCTAACTGATCAACTGCTGCTTTCAAATCCCATGAATAACGCGCGCGTCCTGACGCGCTTGGCCACGGGCAATCCATACACGATCCTTTCATCGGTTTTTATCCATCCTTCTGTGCTTGAACAGCTCTGCGAATTGCACGATGATTTGTCGTAGCAATATGTTACCCTTCCGGATGTGGAAGGTTTCTTTCTTCCTTCTCGTGCTTTATTGTTTCCATGTCTCGGCTATGTTTGGTACGCCTTACCTGTAATTGAACTGATCTTCATCTTCATCTGAAACGTATCCTTCAGCTTCCCGACGGGTGTCCCCCGATGCAAGCATTCCTGATGTCTTCTTTTGTACGTATCTGTGTATTTCTTGTTCTTTCATCAAATGAGCAAGCAACGTCTACGTTTGACTCACACTGCCGACCCTTCAGATAATTATACCGTTCCCATTCCTGGCCTCTCCAAGACGGTTACCGATGTAACATGCTTACTTACCATACCAAAGCTGAGCTACAAACTGACAAGACTTGGAAAAGCATACACGGACTCAAAATTGGGTCGTGCGGTGGTGTGCACAATGATGGATGCTCAAGAAACGTGGGTGATGATAGTCGCCGGGGTTGCTTGTAGGAGTAATTTGCTGACTGGATGTGGTAAGGTCGCTTACACTTGCAGGGTTGGATGTGAAGTCTCCAACTGGAGCACCCCTGTTGAGTAAGCCAGTTGATGTCTGGTACGGCTCTCCTGTTCGAGGTAAGGCCACAGAACAATAATCTACGGCCTCCCATATTCCGACGCTCATCGCAAGTACTTTGTCACTTTAAGCGACACGAATATGCAACGGATATGGGCTGCAAGCCATGCAAGGTGGAATTGACGGTATAGATTGTCTTTTGCTTTGAAGAAATATTTTTCAAGAATGCCGTGACGAAAGTCTTGATAGATTTCTCCGATATATCGATGACCGCGCCTGGCGCTGATAGCACAAAATTCTGTAAGGATACCGCAAATGCGCGCAAAACCTATGGCGCGGAAGGATGGACAGCCATCAATCGATATTTCAAGAGTAGCGATACAGCCGTTTCGTCCAAGACCCAGGCGAGATTTCTCGACTGTTACGGTTTATGTGGATCTTCCCCTTATGGTATGTACATTATTTTACTTGCTAGATACTCCGCACATATACGCGTATTTTGATTGTCCATTCTCTAACCTTAATGACAGTGAAGAGATATCGCAACAAGCGATGCCAGCGTTTGGCCCTAAACTTTCCAATTCCGTTTATTGCAAATGAAGTCCCCATAAACCTTTACTCCGGATCGGTCGCCCCATTATCGTCAACAATGGACAGTACCACCGCACCATGGTCGATTCAACAAGCTTGTGGGATGGACGCAAGGACGGGAAGGTTGACGGCGAATTGTTTGAATGTACAACAACCCTATTCGGTTCTTTCTCCTTTCTTTCAAAGGACAACGACCGTAGGAACAGATATTGTGTTAAACTTGTTTGATTCCGGCGACAATCCAGCCACAATATTTGACGATTTGGCCGGATTCTACGCTATGAGCGCAACTGGTGGGGCCCTTGTTTCAATGCGATTGCTATCGTTGGCGAATATCTCAATCGGCACTGCCAGGTACTGTTAATCTTTATGTCGACAATACCATCAACCGCATTACCCCTGGAACCGCCTTTGCGACATCCCTTGACGCCATTTTTCTATATAATAAACAAATCACAAATGTTAACGTCATAATGCAATCGTCGGGTAATACTTCAATCGATACGACTCGTTGTGATGCGTTCAACAGCATGTTGGAAACGTACTTGCCCGTCGCGAGTTTGAAGAGCTGCGGAACCGGAAGGTCAAGTTTGCCTGCTTGGAGTTGTAAGGTTGTCGATACTTCGACGGGACAAATGATAACGGCATCGATGTTTAAGCCAGCAAGGCTGGTGACTACAAATGTAGTGGGTAGCGGGAACCTTTACGAAATTGGTAGGCCCTAAGTCATTCATGAACAAATCATCGATGCACCCCTCATATCCTATATTAGTGGACTACAGAAACATAACTGTAACAATCGGCTCTCGTACATCCACACAATATGCAAATCCATCCTCAGGCTACGAGTATCGCTTTACTGAGCCGTGCGCTCCCGGGGAAAGCTTGATTGTCAACATACCCTACCCGGCCCTCTTACTCCAAAATGCAAGCACGTCTCTTGCGCGCACCGCAATCAAGCCGTCATCCCAACCTCCTACTTTGACCGTACTTCCGAGCATCACATATAAAGAACTCGTCAGCGACAGTGCGAAAGATGCTGGGGTATTGGTGGGCACAGTTGAAACCACCGACCAAGGCATGTTGATAGCATTTGAATTGAATGACCGAGGGTTTATCGGCGAGACCAGTGTGAAATTACAACTGCCCTACAGTGTTGTTTATGGTACGTAATATCACTTGTTTACGCATTTCAGTGCATATCTCACTGGAACTTCAGGGACGGGACCCAAAACGGTGAATGCATCGACTACCACCGAATTCACACTGACCTGCGGAGTGCTACCAAAACATAATATCCAGGATATTTCTGAGAAAGCAGATTCTCTACGCACCACCTTTCATGAAATTCGAAATCGTAGCGACACATTAAAATCTGTGGAATTTGATGGTAATATCGCTACATTTCGTGCTCACTTGATCCCTACGACTACCCTTTCTAACTTGAAACTCCAGTAACTACACACAGAGTTCAAGGTCTAAGTGCCTCCCCAGCTCCCACGAAGCTCGGAACAATGCAATTCCTGGCTGCATCATCTTTGTTCACTATCTTTCAAGACCTCCCACCAAATTCTCTAACCCTGCCATCAAGCGCTCTGGAACAAAATTCCATCCGTCGCCACACCCTCGTCTATCCATCTGAATTGACCTCTGCGGTCAATCTTCAAGTCACTTCACTGGACAGCTTGATCTCCGGACTCGGACTATTGCAGAGAGTTGGAGATTTAAGAACCAAGGGTATCGAGAGCCAATTTCGATGGTTTGCCGAACAGATGGGAAGCAAAATCGACAAGCAAAGTGTGTCGAGCATTGAATTACCGGCTGTATGGACTGTGAAGATGGATGTTGGAATGGTTGGTATCCTCGTATATCATCTGAACAAGAAGTAAAGCTTGCTGATTGGTGGTCATATTTCAGCTTGCTATTATCTCTCTTCAATGGTCCCTAACGACTGGCATCACAACAGATGTACATCCTACCGAGTTCATGCTTCTTGTGGGCTTGATCGAATGGATCCGTCTTGTGTATGGTTGTCCGGTCATCGTCGTTGGTGATTTCCAGGACGAATTTCGTTGGGTAGGTATACCAAAAGCCGTTTGAAATAACATTTTTACTACGCATATTAAGACTGTTCATGTTGAGAACAGCTCGCTTCACCAACTGGTTTCAAAGGTCCCGGAACTGCTTTTGGAACATCATGGTTAAAGAATCTGTTTCAATACGCTGTTAATGGCGTAGAGTTGGATTTGAATGTTGTTGGGTAAGTTGGCCTGCCTAGGAAAACACTGTTCAGCCGCTGGAATTGCCTATACACATCACTCGTCTAGGAACCTTTGGCCATTACGTACGACATACACTGCACAAATGATTCGCAGCAGAACTGCCACAAGACCGGCATCCGGAAATTGGTTTGATCATGTCTGGTAAGATATCTGGATTGTGCATACATTCAAGCACACAGCCTGTTCATTCAGAGAATATCTTTGCTCTCAGGCTCCCCTTTTCTCCGATAGCGAGCAAAGTAAAGCCACAAGTTGTCAATCGACTGAACGTAAACATGGTTGTAAACGGGAGCATGGTCGACGCAGCAGCGAGGGCCTTAGGGAACTGTTCTATTGGCCCAGAGGCTTCTTCCAGGTTCGTTGACTTGTATTGACTTTCCCTGAAAGATGTAGTTGAGTCCATTAACCGTAGCTGTTTAATAGCCGAGAATTCTCCAACCACATGCCTATAGTTTACGACATAGCGTGGAACACTGGGTCAGCGCCTAGCCCCTCGTTCTCACTCGTGTCCCTGAACATGGCCTTCTTCGATGTGACTGGTTCAACCCGACTGGACTATTTACGCCCATATAAATTCGGTGCCGACTACGAAACTTTGAGCGGAAATGGATTCACGGGAGACCTGCTCTGGACCAAGCTCACCAATCGTCTTAAAGCATATCTCGCAAATTTTGACCTAGTAGCCACGCAGTCAGAAAGCGAACTGGTTCGCGTTAAAGCTGCCAAACCCTTCATCAGTGGATTCGAGTACTCGAACAAGGATGTAAATTACAAAGGTGTATACATCAGAAAGAAGGAAGCAAAAGTCCAGAGTGGTGGAACATCTACATGTTCTGTTATCAACTATAGTTGGGATGGCTCTGCCACAGTGACTACCACAGTGGACGCCGACCCCGACAACGTCGAGGAAATGATTGCGGCTGCTCGCGATGGGGCATCCACTCCGACCAACACCAACCCTACACTTCTCGCATGCGGCTTCTGGGCATTATCCAAACCTGGCACAACAAGCTCGTCGGACCGTCCATTTATTTTGATCAATGTACATGATCGACCCGGTTACTTTGCACTAAGTCGCGACGGAAATTTGGCCATTGATTCAAGGTCAACCACGGTGCTGCGCCAGGCGTTATATGCTATTTGTTTGTCGCTTAAGGCTCAGAGTGGGCGAGGTGGGTTGGATTGTGGGGTCAGCGACAATGTTGAGCAGAAGATTTCAATGTTCTTTGTGGTATGCCTGCATCAAATTCTCTTTGTCCATTCTGTTTTTGACATCTGCATTTCCGTTTGATAGGGAGACTGGAACAATCAGGATTTTTCACGCGCTGTTCCCAAGCCAAACACCACAGATTGGAGAACACAAATGGAAAACACATTTAAGACAAGAACTGCTAAATTCGAAGCTGCCATGTATGATTCAAATTTCACTGAAGTCAATCCGGTGCTGATAAAGTATCTTTATACCAGAGCCAAGCAAATGAATCTGCAGTGTCCCCTTGCGAAAGTGTTTATTCCGGGAGACACGAACAGTCGCGGATCCAACAATCTGAACTGTGACAATTTTGAACAACGTGTTCCCTACGCAACTACTGCGAAAGGACAGTTTTACGTAGGTTGCCACCAAAAGACAACATTTCTTTGGGTCATCCCAGCTTACATGTCGTTGCAAGGATTTTTTGTTCTATTGCGGCCCAAACACCATTACAATCCTTGACAGCAAAATCGACAGTAACTTAGGATACTGGGGCGGGAACGCCTGCAACACTTCTGGACTTGACCCCTTACAGGCGGATAATTGTGCAAGTACGGACGTTCCTGGTGAGCTAGATGGAATCAGCGACCATCGGGCTGTGAGGATTAAGATCGGGGATGAAATGGCCGGGGCAGAGGTGGAACCGGTGCAGCCCACTATTGGTGATCCCGGTCAAAGTGCACAAGAAGGGACTTCAACGTCTTCTCATGTTGAGGTAAGGTTTGGAACATAAAGGTTACAGCATCAATGCTCAACAAACTTCTTTGTGATTTTTTCTCTATAGTCTCAAACTGCAACTCCCACTGATGATGTTAGTACATCAGGCGATAGTGTAACAGATATATCAAGTGTTACGCAGATGCCAACAGAGACGCCGACCGAAATACCGACTGAGACGCCAACAGGGTCACCGATAGAGACGTCAATTAGCGCCTCCGCTTGATCTCAAATAGAACAACTTTACAATGCGCCTGAGATGGTTTCTAGCAATGAATTTCATTTTGTTCAAACCGATGACATTAAGTTCCATTTTCCCCAAGCGTCATTGTGTTGCGCGAGATGGCCCCCTGAGTCAATCATTGACCTGCCTCAGTTGCCACACTGACCGACGTAGCTGTCGTCGCTGGCTCACTAACTCCCTGGAGCGCACTCTGTATGTCTGTACCCGTAACTTGGCATTCAGGTAATTTGGACAATCTCCACATAAGCTGCTGCATAGCAGTTTCGTTCCCCTTGACGTAGTCGACTGCCGTATTGAACGGAAGGCTATTAGGAGAACTGAATGCTGAAATTTTCCATACACTATTTACCCAAGAGTGTGAAGTTCGCTATTTCTTCTTCTGTTACGCTAGTCTGCGATCCATATGAACAGATGAAGCCCTGAGCACGTCTCACGGCATCCATATATTGCCGCCCTGATATCGCATATCCATCAAGATTTGTGCATCAGGGAAACAGTCACAAGATCGGATGTACTCACTAAAATTCCTCAGCTCATTCCGAAGAGCCTTATTTCCTTCGGTACAATTGTATGCCTTTCCCAGCACCAATCCAGTACTATTCCGGCGAGCGACTACGGGATTCAATGATGTCAGATGATGCTTGACGTCCACGAGAGGCGGATGTTGCCCAATCAATACATGCGTTTTTCAGAGTCATGTAGGCGGTCGACTTGGGGTTTCCACACCGGGTCTTCTGGATCCTTGCATTTATGCTTGGTTCTACATGGAATCAGTGTTATGATCAAGTGCACAAGAAGCTGCTCTGATATTCGATGTGCTTACAGGGTATCATAGTCAGTAGTGACCACCGTGTCAGAATGCTCCACGTATATCGGCTTTTTCTTGGCAGCATGAACCAAGGTGAATAGAATGAGGAGGATTGATAAAACAGAGTAACGCATCTGGATTTTGAAGATAAAGAATGTTTTAGATATATCTAATGGTGCAAAGTAGGAAGGTACTGCGCAAAACCGCTGATTAAGCAAGTCGCGACCCTCAATTTGATGACCTCACGCGCTCCTTTTAAGATTTCTGTCCGAACTTGTCCGATTGGCTTACCTCGTCGCCTAATGATACTTGAGATCTCACTCATATTATAATGAATAGTATGGAGGAACCTGCGGAGAGCTCACATTTTATTACTGTCGTCTCGGAGGTTGTCACATCAGATGTCGATAGTAATACTGTCCCCCAAATGTTTCCAGTTCAGTACCATGCACGGGCAAATTGGATATGGTTAATTCAAGTACTTGTGGTCCTTCTCTGGTCGATATCACAAAAAAGGATATTTCCCGCTCCCCTCAGCGCACCCTACGTCCTTGCCTTGCGACAATTCCTCTATCTGAATCTTGTCTCACATGCCATCTTTTATGTCTGCGAGCTCCTTTTCACCTCAATAGTTGTTTCCCTCCCAGCCATGGCAGCACACCACGTTGCTTCAATCCTCCTCTTCTGGTTCATCTACCGGGAGCCTGCGTGCGTCTCCGTGTCATGTTTGCTGCCCTTTGTTTTGCATGCACTCTCGTGGATATGCGGAGATACCGGCCCAGGGAATACGCTCCTTGCCTTCTATAACCTTTGCTTTCTTGGGTGTTGTCTTGCATCGATCTACCGAAATCCGTCGGAGGGCCATATAACAGATCTAGTGCCGCTGACGGGTGTCCTCATTGTAGCCTGCAATGGAGTATCTTACTGTGTGCTGTAAGTTGGAGGTGCATGGTGTGTCCCACGTGAGCTCGCCTTCTAACCTACACACAGCCATGAAGGTGCATTGTGCTTGCCTATCCGTTTCGCCCATTTCCCCATTTTCCAGCGATCTCTAGAGATGTTCGTTCTAATCGGTGCGCTGACGTTGGCGGTACGGTGGTGTGGATCTCGGACTTCTGTAATGGGTGGCAGTAGCGTGAAAAAAGTTGGATAAGGTATAAAGATGCAACATAGGTAGGGTTGCGCTGAAATTACATCAATTATGTATTTCCGGCCAATATTCTCTGTTGTTCTTTATTTTACATTCAAACTATCAAAGTAGACATTGCCAAGTCCATTCCAGTATTCGTAACCATAGCGGTTGTCACCTGGCCGTTCTGTCGTATATACACGATCGTGAGAGCCTCCCGCAAATTCATTGCCGGCCCACATCCTGCCTGAGTAAGGGTGCTTTTACACTGCAAAAGCAAATCCGTGTATCCATCACCATCCACATCTCCTTGTACTGATGCTCTCCATGTTTGCCCCGCATGGATTTCGAGTGATAGCTCTAGCAGTGTCACTGACGATGAAATGGAAGTCAAAGCTTGCTCTGGAACAAAAAGGGATGCCCTGTTCGGCACCGCAAGCCCCTGAATGCTGAATCGGCAAATGTTGGCGGTGCAAGCAAAGCCAAGTACACCTAATGAATCCCATACTCCCAATCCAACTGGGGTTCCCGAAGCAGAGAAAGTGTTTGCTTGGCAAGACTGGACGAACGGAAAATCTCGATGAGCAGTTTGGCGAAGTTCATTACCGTTCGTAGCGTACTTACTTGGTCGTAGTCATTGTCGGCCATAACGCAAACGGTGATTGAAGAGCCTCCATCAATGGGTCCGCCAGCCTTGGTTGCCCAAAAGGTATCTAAAATATCATTACCATCTAGGTCCGCAAATCCGACCAAGGCTCGATCAGGGCAAATGCTTTGGTCTGGACCCTTTAAAGTTTGCAATTGGAGGCCAGGGCGATATACAATGGCGTACGCTCCAACCGAATCCTTTGTAATGTAGTCGAAAGTACCATCTTGGTTGTAGTCCCTGTAAATAGATAAATGAGGAGGTTATGTGATGCAGCAATAGTATTCTAACTTACCCGACTGATGAGATAGTTTTGGAAGCAGCTATAGTTAACCACGTATTACTGGTACTAAAGGTAGACGACCAACTTGAATAAGTTGTTAACTGGTCGGTGGTGTTCGTCTTATATCCGAGTACGTCTGCGCGGCCATTTTGATCAAGATCCAAGAATGCGGGTGATACCCAGTTGTTGTACAGCGCATACTGCCCAGGTTTCGCAACATCGAAATCGATTGTATGGAGTGCAGCGTCATATGTAGTTGGTACGATAGTCCACTGTGCGGAACCTTTAAAACGTGCAAAAATATAAGGGGTGACAACCGCAGCAACGAGGTCCTGATCGGGAAGCAACGTTGCAGTGACCACAGAGGAGCCGAACAACGTCGCCACGTCCGCAGACGGGGTCAGAGCCATAAAGAGGGCGCTGGTATCCAAGTACCTCGCGTATTTCCACCCAAGTGCCAGAACGAGGGTTGCAGGAGGGGATATGACCGTCGTGCTGTCATTACCAACGACACTGTACGTATATGTCGAGACTGGTAGGACAGTAATACCTAGATTGGTGGGTATATTTGTTGCCACCACTTGGAGAGTGGTGGTGGACTCGTCAAATCCGTCCACGGTAACGGTAGTAGAGCCAGCAGTTCGCGTTAAAACATAAGCGTCATAGCCAACCACGACCCGTGGGGTGGGAATAGATACGGTTGCACTTAGCCATGCGTCGTTGGTTCCTTTAACAGTGACCCAAACGGGAACCGGAACTGTCATCCTGTCGGCTGGAATTGTTGTGGAGAGGATACTGCCATTTGATACTGACTTATATGGCATAATATCAATTGCTCCCTGCACTGATCCAATTGCCAGCTACCATCGAGATTCATTGTTATACAGGCGGCATTATGACCCGAAGTGCTTATGAGCTTACCTCGTACTGATAAATACGTGATCGTCCTGGCACAAAACCACTCCATTGCACCACACGACCATAATTCGCGAGGGAAACCTGAGCACCAGCTGCATTTGGCGGACTGGTATCAACAAGTATACTAGTAACGTCGATCGTTGAGAGTAGCGCGTTATTCACTGCCCTGACAGTGAGGTAGATCTCCAACAGACCCGATACATTGACGAGACTCGCTGTGACCTGGCTGTCTTGCGTAAAACTCCAACCCAGCAAATCACTACGATTTACGGCCGTCCCGAGCGCCCACTCGTAATACGCGATGTCGGATCCATCATCCATGGCCTCCCACGTAAGAGTAAGGTGCCCATCGCTGGTTGCTCCAACAGGTTGTCCAGCTCGCATGAACGTGAGGTTCCCAAGAACCGGCGGCGTCTGATCGATCGTTAAACCACGAGTCCAAAGTACCGAACCTAAGCCGGCCCGATTTACGGCTCGTAAAGCAATGTAATACGATGCCGGCGTCGTGAGAGGAGCTGGAGCAATAGATCCCGGGGTAGCTGCGGTTGGGACAGTCGCGTTCGCTGGTTTTATGCAAGTCATATTACTGCTACTTGGTACATAGCCATCATTGCAGACGCAATGGTAACTGCCGATGTCGTTTACACATGTCTGCAAAGAAGAATGGACCCATATTATTAAAGGATATAGATGTCAAAAGCTCTCATCAACTTACAGTGGTTCTGAAATCACAGCTGTTGATACCCTACGATAATGAAAGACGTGTTTCGTAAAACAAGTGCTATAATGTCTTACGAGAGCGTGACTGTCGCATACCTCAGCGCATTCATCAATGTCTACACATTCCAAACCACTACGCCGGAATCCATCGTTGCAGACAGTGGTGTACGACTCTGTTGGAGACGTTAAACTCGATACGCATTTTCCATTAGCCGGGTTAGGACCAGTAGGTCCAGAACACCAGTCGATTCCAACACAATACCCTCTCTTCGAGAACAAAGCGTTTGTGTAACACCATGGCCTGATGTCGTCTGCGTATGTGCACTCCGTGTAGAGTTTTCCTTGATAGTAGAATGGAAACACACATGTTTCGCCGGTGACAGTTTTGCGAGGCGCACAATAATCTGTTCTGGATAACTGACTAGGAACGCTGCTGTTTGATACCAGCGGACACCATGGAATAGGCAACTCTGCCCGGAAGGTAGCAGCTCCAAGTGCATCAAGCCCGTAGATCGGGGCTTTAGTAATTTTGTCACGAGTAAAGCAGAGGGATCCTGACGCCAACCGACTGTTGCTCATTAGCGTGGGCATGCAAACGCACCCAGCAGGTGCGGTTGTTGTTGCAGACGTATAAACGAAGAAGGGTAGATTGATCTCGGCACATCGGGATGCGCACACGTCCAGAGAAATATCCCGGTAAGATTTGGTTTGCGGGAAAGCTAACGTCGCTTGCGAAAGGATTGTTGTGTAATTATTCGTAGCTAGCGCAATATGAAGGACTTGCGAAAGGTCCCCGAACGACCAGCATCCTTGGAAACTGTACCCTGGAGCAGATGGAGCTACATCAGGCTTAACGCCAGGAGCGCATGACGAATAGGTTGTTCCATTGACCGTAAATGGGCCCAAGCAGGTCTCATTTAAGTTAATAGTCTGGCGCGGCAGCATTTGTCGTACAGCGGTCGCACAGGTCGGCCCACTCCAGTTCGGTGGGCAGGAACACATATTGGGCCCGATACACACACCCCCATTTTGACACGCTATTGAGCAGGTAAAGCCGGTAAGTCCAGATACGCTGAGTTGAACAGTCACTGCCTTTGCCGACAAAACCGCGATATAAACCTCTCCTTTCAGAGATGGGATAGAGATGGCGCACTGCAGAGACTGTGCCGGCATACACTTAGCAATCGCAACGGGGCTCGCTGTACACGAGGGGAAGGCAACTAGCCACATTCGAGACGGTTGCGATGCCGAACTTGATAAAACAAATGGTTCGCCCGTCGCCGTTATCTTGTACCAGCGGGCGAGACGAGGAGTGTTCACCATGCGAGTAGTTCGTGGGTCTTCGTCAATATCTTTTGAGGATATCGATGCGTTCAGTGGGGCTGATGAAGTAAGGACAGCTGCTCCAGCACACCCAGTTTTGGGGTCAGGCAGTACACACCCATCAGTACCGATGCCGGTACCAACGGTTCCTGGTGGACAACGACATTCATGGCCTCCGTAAGTATCCACGCACGTGGCATTACTATGGCAATTGTTGGAAGTCTGTCACATATACGAAGTTAGGAATGCAGCAAGTAAGGGGCTTCATCATCACAACTTACCATGCACTCGTTTACATTTACGCAAGTCCATTGATCCATAGCGGTAAACCCTGGGTTGCAGTTACATCTATAGCTTCCTGGAACATTCTCGCAACGGCCCGCCAAACCACATGGATTTGAGGCACACTCATCGATATCAATACAGCCGCTTTGCTCGAGCTCTCCGGTAGCAGAATAAGGATTGCCGGTATACCCAGGTGGGCATTCACAGAGATAGGATCCCGGAATGTTTCTACAAGTAGCACCTGTGGCACACATAGACACATTGTAGGAAGCAGCAATACCACATTCATCTAAAAATCAGTCGAGGGAGAACGGTAAATTCGTTAATAACTGAAGTTTGACATTCATTTGCACTGAGAGTCCGTACCAATATCTTCACAGTCGAACTGGTATCCACTGCCTAAAGGAAAGGAACTTTGGTTGAATATCTTGGATGATAAACTTTAGCCTTAACAACCGTGTCGCATTACCTCCATAGCCAGGCTGACATGTGCAGATGTACTGTAAGTTATACCTATTTGCTACAGCAAGAGTCTGATTTGATACTGGAAAGTTGACATCTTCCCGCTTGGTACAACTCGCTAAAGGTGAGCAACCACCTTGCTCGGCGGATAAATCACACCAATTTCGCGAATATATGTATGACTCCAATGTAATGTTTGTGAGCCTTCCAAGTCGGATTAACTCAGAGTCTGTGGACGTAAGTGGCTGTGACCATTGAGAAGGAACGCAGGGTACGTCCGACGTGGCGTCGTTGCAAGTTTGCGTCCAATTCTCCACATTAATACGAGTTAAGTTGAGGACATCGTACTTCTCAATAACCGTTGAGATTCCAATTTCGTAATAATCAATTCCAGAATCAGGATCTAGGAAGGGATCGCCATGGTTGCATCCATAGCTGGCATTCGGTGGCCCAGGGAAGGTGGTGCTGGAAAACACCATCGATGCTGTAGATGCCAATTTACGGACCGCTAGACATAACGCAGGAAATTAGAATGATCAGCTCTCATCCTCGTTGTTTTGTAATATCACTGACTTACCCCATAACCGGAACAACGGAGCCAGTTTCGGAAGACCTTGAATCCCTGCCGTTCCAACGAACAGGCCAGGAAGCTGGGAGGAGCCTACGACCAATCCTGCGTCGTCGGTGACCGTTACCTGGGTTGTTCCTTCGCGAACAGTCACACTGTAGGTGAGATAAACTGAAGTCGGGTCCTGAGAGAAGTCCACCTCCGCCCCTCGTAAAGATTTATCGCCCGGTTTTGCTGCCCACATGTACACTGATGGCTTATCCAAAGCCAGAATTTGGATTCCAATGGCATTATATGGCCAGCTGTTGTTGAAGTAATAATTGCTTTGAGTTTCAAAGCTTCGCTCCACGACAGGAATATTACTATCTGTCAATATGATGCTGCTAGCAGCCCCGTAGGTTGGACTCGCTTTGAAGCGGAAGGAAAAGCTTCCACCGGAAATCGAAACGTTGGAAACTACTTCACATCCACGCGTGAGATGTTCATCAGCCGAGTCGGTTGCTGCGACTAGCGTAAGGCGATTTGAAGCAAAGGTTGCACAGCTTGGGGAAAACACAATTCTCGCATCATCCAATCCAAAATCGGTCGTCAGACTTGACGAGATACTCCAACGAGCAGACGCTCCCGATGTAAAAGTGTCAACATTAGGTTGACATGGACTTTCACCAACGGATTCCGCCCAAGTGAGGGCCACAGAGTTGTTGCTGGCAGTATAGGCCATATTTACGGATGGGTCATACCCTTGTTTTACAGTTCCAAGAATGGGTGGTGTCACATCCACGTGCAGCGGAACACTCGCTGAATACGAAGTGAGACCTGCATTGTTCACAGCTTTGATGAGAATTCGATGCGTACCACTGCAAAGGATGGACGATTAGTTTAAAACTATTCAGAGTTACTGCAGAAAATGCGGACCATTCACACCTTTCTGTTAGTGGAGCGGCAATATCAATTGAACTAGTGGTGTTGAGATCACTTCCAACAGAGGAGAACGGGACGGTGAGGAGATCAGGATTGTCCAATGCCATAGAGACGGGATCCTCTGCCGAATCACGTCGTCTCAACTGTCCGGTGCTGTTTTCAGCTGGTGGTTCCAGCATCACGGCGTACTGTATGTCTTGAATATCGCCTCCAAAATCCCCCAAGTTTATCTATCGTAAAGAGGTGTTAACAGAGAATACAACAAAATTCAGATGAACATGCATCGAGATTACCGTCATACTTCCAGAAGCCGCCTGCCAGCTCTCTGTCGCATTCTCAGCTTGCCCGGAAAACGCAATTACTAAGGGCGCCGGCTGTGTGTTATTAACAATAAATCCTAGACTTTTAGTAATAGTGCCCTGAGCGTTCAGATCTGTCGCACGAACAAAAGCGTAATATTCGCTTCGATTGCCTCCGATTTCCGTGACGTTCAAAGACAATCCCGTGAAGTTAAACATCACAGCATTAGGGTCCACATGAGTGAAATTCACAATGTAACTCTGGCTGTTGGATGAATCCGCGGAGCTTGATAGTGCGACATCGATGGCGAGTGGTGACCAGACCGATGTGATACCCCGCCATTGAATATTCACTGTGTCTGTGGATACTTGAGATGTGGCAGTGGTTATGCCCAAGCCATTGTCAATCCACACCTCTCCGACGGTTGGAGGATCTCTGGAGGCGATACTTGAGATGGAGTTGTCAAACAAAATTGCGGAACAGTAAGCTCACCTCAGTCCAATAACAAAACCAGGAGAAACACCAGTAACAATGTCACCAGTGCAAGAAGTCGCCTGTACAGTCACATAATATGTTGTGTATGGCTTCAATTCGGTAGAAATCCACGCAGTAAAGTTTCGTGTGAGGCCTGCATCCGTCCAGATCAAAATGTTTGCAGCCCCGTCGCTTATTAAATAATCTGTTCCAACCGCATATCTATAATTCACCACAAAACAGGTATCCGAGGAGAAGTCCTCCCAAGAAGCGGACACCGTATGGGGATCGTTCTGGAAAGACTGCTGAATCCCTGGCAGCGGGCCATCCCAGACTTTCCCAGCTTTAGCAGGTGAATGGACAATCGTGACTGCATCGCTTACAGCCGGTACCGCGTTCGACATTCCGAAGCTATTGAAAGCCTTGACTATGACAACGTAGCTTCTCATTGGGACGAGTCCGAGGTTTGCTGCTACGATTTCCGTCTCCGTAGTGGAGGTGACTGGCCATACAACTGCGTTCGTAAGATTATCTTTGATCCACCATTGATACTCCGCGATGGGGCACGGATGAGTGAACTTCCATGCCGCAGACAGGACGTTTCTGTCTTTTTGGAATCCACTGCTAGCACTTGTGGAGTACACCGATACGGGCATTGGACCATTGTCCACTACCCCCAGAGGTGACGACGTGGCCTGAGCAGAAAGTCCCGCTCCATTGACAGCCCGTACCACGATCACTATTTGACTTCCTGGTCTGGGAGCAACATCTAATTGTAGGGTTGCCGTTGTAGCAGTTCCAACGTCCTTCCACTTAAGCAAGAATGCCTGACCTTGGTACTCTTTCACGGCAACCCTATAGCGCGCAATGCCGCTCTCGGCATCAGTAAAGGCACCGTCCCACGACGCAACGATATTGTTCGTTCCTCGATGACAATCAATGACGTTTCGGGGTAGCGCCGATGCTGATGATGTAAAGTTTATCCCTTCGACCTCCGAAAGAAAAAGAATCTTGTCGTACTTGGTATCTGGTGGTGTCCTATCAATCGAGAGAACGGTGTAGGCCGATGAAGACATTCCCACGCTGTTTGTACCAGTAACAGTCACGAAATACTGCGAGGATGGCGTTTCTAGGTAAACAAATGCAGGATCAAATACGTAAGAGTTTCCAACGACGGTCTTAGGAGTAAGAATTTCAACCCCGCCAGTTGTTGTGCCCAGAGACACTGTGACATTAGCAACAGCACTTTCCGGGTCTACGAAAGCACTCCAAGAGCAGCTGAAAGGCAGTCGCGGAGTAACAATAGCTGAGGAGCACCCGAAGTCGGTGGGCGCAACCGGTGGGGTGGCGTCCACAACTAGATGGTTGCTGTAAACTGTTGAGGACGTGCCTGTGATACTGTCTACAGCGCTGCATTTGGCAAAACTTGCTGTTCCGTATGGTATACTACTAATATTTGCTAGGAAGGCAACTGAATATTGCTCAGTTGCTGGAAACTGCGATACCGTGAGTGGAAAAACGTCGTCTGTGTCAAATCTCCCAATGGACACTTGAAGTGAGTCGAATCCTTCGCTTCCCAAGCCTGTGCTTGCTGCGCACGTAACCTTAATTTGGTTTACACTCGCATTTGATACGTAGCTTGAGCCATCGGCCAGCTGGAGAGTGGGCTCTTTAAAACGGTATCAGAATGCTTCAGCATAACGGCGCTGACCCTATCCTTCAGTGTGCAGAAACTTACCAAAAGGAGCCTCATACGCGACCCTGAACCCAGCTGAAGTTGAGCTCACTTTTTCAGTAAAGGTGTCAGGGCCCGTCGTGCCAAATGTTCCGTAAACCGTAATAAAGTAGGTCACATTTGGCTGCAGTGCGCTCGATGGATAATTGATGAACCCGGAAGAGTTCTTGGAAGGATATACAAGGTACGCAGATGTTTCCTGAACAACGTCGGTGGAGTTGGGCGTCGTTCCCATACTCCACGTGTACAATGCTCCGGCAAAAAAATGCTTGAACCCCTGGAAGTTGATCAGTCGTAGTTAGTCTCTCCACTAACCCATAACAGTGAGCTCTCTTCCTTACATTGAAGGTAGCCGTTACTAAATCACGCTCAATTTGGATCCTTGTTTCGACGTTTGGCATAAACCCATCCCAGACGGTTCCCGGTTTTGCGCCGGGGACAATCTTCACACACCCAGATTCATGCAAGACAGATTCTAAACCAGCAACATTTCGTGCGTATACTAAAAACCAAGTTAATTAAGCTTTCACTTGCTAACGTCATCCTTGAATTCATACCAGTCATGCAATATGTCTGGTTTGCTGCCAGATCCATTGGATAAGCTATGAATGTACTGGAGGGCTCAACAGCTATGAATCCATTTGTGTAATTGGTGGAGCCGGTCTCATCACTGAACGAAACGAAGATATTTGTGATAGGGACAATGGTTTTCTGAAATGGAGCAAAGATTGTGAGGGAATTCTAAAACTTTCAAGCAACCTTGTCCGATGCGCACCTGATAAGAGAACCAGCCTCGCAATGCGTCGTTATTGGTTGAGAAACGCAGCGAAGGTGTTCCCAAAGCAACAGACCCCACACCACTTGCGAGAAGTACCGGTGGTAATGTTGCAATTGTAATTTCAAACCCGACTCTGGTCGAAAGACCAGCTCGGTTAACAGCGCTAACGAAGACGGTGTAGCTGTTGAACTCTTTCAATGGTGGGTTGGCAGTGATGGTACATCCTGAACTTGTAATATTAGCCGTAGCTCCCGGCACGGCAACCAAGTCCGGATCCAATATCCAGCAAGCAAGTGCATTACTTGCGAGACCTAAAATGCGGGTGAGTGTCCTATTGAAAATACACTTTGGCGCGAATCTCATTGCTGCCAGACCTGATTCGGGCTCGTCCCATTCCCAATCAATGGTAAAAGTCGCTGGTGTTTGAATGTACGTCGTTGTCCCATAGACGCTATTTCCTCGATAATTGAGGAACTTCAACAACGGTGGTGTCTCATCTGGGACGCGAATATTGAGGGAGAACAGCTTATGACATTACTGAATGGAATGTTGCACCTACCGACGGTGACATTTCCTGTTGTTGCAACAGCAGTATTGCGAGTTCCCGCAGCATTGTATGCAGTAACCACTGCGTAAAACGTTTGCCCCTGGGATATTGGTGCACCGTACAGAACCGCGTTGGTTCGAGTCGGTAGGGCATAGTCCACGATAGTTTCGGGATAGAGGATAGCTCCTATGATGCATTATCAATTAGAAACACTGTGATGTTAAACACCCTTTAACAGACTACATGTTAATACCTGTGTTGCTATCCAATAGCTGGATTGTATACTTTAATAAGCCAGATTCGTCATCTGAACTAGAGGTCCAGTTCAAGGTGACAAATAACCGCTGATTTTGGAAAATGCCGTTTCCGCCCGTAAGTATCTTTGCTTCAAAGGGTGTTGGACCAGTGATATCGATGATTGCTGAGCGGATATTGAGAGATTTTAGGACGAAGTATCTCGAGAAGGGTACTCTATTATGAACTTACTTCCACGCGAACTGGCAACGGAGTACTTCGAATCAGGTCCATTATCATTCCACGCTCGTACGTTAGCAAATACGATCGAATCTGCCAGCAGCGGTGAGGAGATCCCGTACTCAGTGTATTCATAATAACGTCGCTCACCTTGCGGAACAGTAACCTTCGTTACAGGAAGACAGGCTTGCGAATCCCATCTTCCAACCTCCGTCCAATCCATAATGTCTGTTTGCTCTGGTAGAGTTCCAAAGGACACGTCAATACGCCCGATTCCACTCACGGCAGACTGCGGTATCCTCTTTTAGTAAAAATACCGTGCAACAAGGTTGGATGCAACATAGACCTTACCACAAAGCTTGTCCATGAGCAACAGAGTGTCTGGTTGCTGTCAATGTAATCATCCTGCGTCCAAAGAGTAGCCCCATCAAAAACAGTTCCTGGGGTTGGGGGGTAGAAATCAACTGCACTAATATCCGTGAAACCAGTGTCAGTTAGCACGTCAGTGTGAAGAGAAATATGTATATGAAAGTACTTGCATAGGACGCTCGGTTGACAAAGCAAAGAAATTGCCAGCATTGTCGGCAATTTGAAGTTGTCCTACAAGACAATGTTGCACAATAAGCGCCTTGCCTTCAGCAATGTGATTACTTTCAAACCTATACCATAAAGCAATTTCCCGTTCAACTTTTCATCAACTGTAATTGTGTAGTTCTGAATGCCCGGGGTCGCACTGGGATCAAGTGTTATGTAACCAGTATATCTCGGAGTGTATCCTAAAAATCATTTGTGAGGCAAGCAAGTCGTTCAAAGGAGCAACATCATAATAACAGTACCATCACCCAGTCCAACGTTGATATACTTCACGCCGGACAAATTATCAGAGTAATTAAATGATAATACAATGTCTCCAAGTGAGCCAGGTTCGGTGCTGGGAGCGATGCTGATGCCACCGGTTGGAGGCGTCGCTGGCAAGGAGAGTGTCCCATCAGTTTGAGCTTGTCCAATTATTCAATGTCACCTGAATACATACCGTCAACAACGTATCCGTTTCTGCAGCGAAGGGTTTTCAAACCAACCCAGTTTGTTGCTTGAATGCAAATTGTGTGATTACCCTCTGGTAGCTCATATCCGCTCAGGGACATGGCGATATCCTGTAATCAAACGTCAAATGGGGTGTGCTTGATCCTTTGTATCGAATCTAACTTACGGCTCCTCCGGGACCCGGTACAATAAAGTTGGTCCACCCATTGTAAGGCATCCAGGAATCGACATCAACTGGTATCAGATCCGCATCTATGTCATTTGGCCCAATTGCGAAATTCCAAGCCGCAATATCCGTTTCATTGTCAATAAATCCATTGAAATTGAAGAAGACTGACTAATTGAGTCATAAGAGATTCTCTGTAAAACTTCTTGTCATTTAGTTCCCCAATAGCACTAACAATCCCTACCGATTGTGCGTTTGTTGCTTCCCAGTCACGCCGAAACTTCTGTCCGAAATAAAGGCTCCCTAGGTCTGGAGGAGTCACATCCACCTACGAAAAGAACCAGTGAGTGGAAATGTACTTATCGGTGCACCGCATCGACGTAATGGACCGAACTATTTGTCTCTCACTTACCATGGTGCCTTTTGATTGAACTGACGAGACGTATCCCAGTGTATTTGTCGCCTGAATAGCCAGGTAATATGTTTTTCCATGCTCAAGTGTCAAGCCGGGAAATGTGAGTCTCCCCATTGTAGCATTTGCATCTAACTTCATCCACGGAACCGTATCATTGAGGGCACCTTCCTGCTTGCTTGTGCCTACCGCACATAAAATTTCTCTGAGAGGAGTGGCATCTTTGATGCTGTAGGCAAACGACAATTTATCGACCAATGGCTGCAGTGCGGTACCATTCCGCTGAAGATCAACCTCGGTTGTGAAGGCTCGTAGATTTTTGCGTTGAACTACCCAAGTTTCATTTTCTCCGATGGAGAATTCGAACTCAGACGGCTGCGTCAGGTCAGTTTCCCAGATATTGATAATTGGGGGCGATAGATCCCATAAAACTTTGGTCGATGCTGTGGTTTCTAGTCCTTGCTGATTTTTGGCGGTGATAGTGACATACAAGTCAATCTCATCAAACCACTCTTTATCGGTAGGACCGGGGAATGTTAAACTCTCCCCTTGGTCTCTAGGGACTGTTGAGCGTGGAATGATGCTTGTATCTCCTGGTCCCCACCCCACGCCCACGCTAGGAAAACAAGCGTTTTAGCCTTTTCGCCCAAGTCACTGTGTGAACTTGCAATTTATGACAAACCTAATTTCGGCAATTCCTGACTCTCCATCGTGTGCAGCAAAGCGAGTAAACAATAACGGGTTCACCGGGGTCAGACCAACTACCTGTTGCGCTAATAATTGGTCGATAATTGGTGGGGTTCTGTCAGCCAACGTTCCGCTCGCATCTGATATTGTGAGAGCTCCAGGTGCAGGACAGGTATCCAGCACACGAATCTTGATCGTAGATAGCCTAAACAATATGAATGTGAGATGCGTGGTTCGGGGGTCTAATCGTAAGCATCTGAAATCCTACGCGAATCTGACGATGGTGACCCTCCAGGTAATGTCGAAAAAGAAGAAGTCTATGGTTACTATGATAGCAATCTCGATGGCAAGTGGAACAATCTCCACATTAATCTATGTAAAATTAAAACAATTAGCAGCTGATTGTCACAGAACAAGTTCAACCGGGCGGCCTTACATCGATACAAGTTCCAATTGGGAAGTTTGACAGCGGAAAGTGGACTGTTATCGGCACATGCGTGTCTGCAACAATCCCAGTAACCTGCAATCCAACGCTCGCGATAAAGATGTCAAGCGAAAGACTACCGGATACCGAAATCGCGAAAGCTGGAATAACGGTGGGTTCTAACGTCATTCCCATCAGACAGACGCGCATTCCCGCTTGTATCCCCAGAATAGCGTCAAAGTCCCTGATTTTCCGCGAAAAGGACACATTCGTTAGTAAAAATGCGTGTAAGGTAGTAACAAGAAAACAGATATTTCTACGCACAATTCAAACGTCACGGGTACCATGCCTCCAACAAGAATTGTTTTCTCCGCGTGGAAAATATTGATGCTCTTCCTGAATTCCGGGAGCATACCACCTGCGCAGAGCTCCTGAGCGTTCTCGAATTCATCGTCGATACATACGTTCGGAACGTTCACCGGAAACCCGCTGAAGGACGCTCTTCGTGCAAGGGAAACTGCGTGGGAATCAGGTTCATCGAATTCCAGGGCTCTTCGTGCTTTTGAGCTCTTTTTAGGCTTTGTTTTAGATTTACCACTCTTGTCTGCCTCCTTTTTAGCATCGAGAGCATCCGCTAGATCCTGTTGGTTCAGAGCTTGCTTGCCTATGATGGGGGTCTGAGGGACATAGCTGCGCCCGAGAATCGTTAACAAATAATAGTTGGGGTTCGGATTGAACCCGGACAGAATGGTGGGAATCCGACGGGGCAGACTGAACAGTGCATAAGTAAATTGAGTACGAAGCGCAGCAACACATGGAGAAAGGTATACTTACTATTTTCCGGGATCTAGCCATACGTTAGGATCTCTCTTATCCTGAATACTCAGGTGGATCTCGGAACCTTTAGGTGCCGCAATGGAATCTCCTCTTTTGACCTTTGTTTTACCAACGACTACGTTGAGGTCGACTAAAGGAGTCACCCGATTGATTATAATATTGTAGTTGCTTAGACTATGGTAGTGCATTTTAAGAAACGAGTAAGTCAGCGGATAGCACAGAATTACATATCGCTGTCAACCCACCTGCCGTCAGTTACAGAAAGAATAAGCGCCCCATCATCAGCCCTGCTGAGTGTCCCGTCAAGCGGAGCCACGATCTCTTCTCTTCCCTCCACATCTAGGAAACTGCCGTTGTACTTTTTATCCAACATGGCGCTGGGAAACGCCATCGGTGCACCGTTATTATCCGCGGCGACTCGATTAGGGAACGGTTGGTCAAATTTGGGTCCGAACACGCTACCGAGGTACTTCTTGAGTTCTAGAAAAAGGCCATTCATATAAATCCCAAGTATTTAGGACGGAATGAACTGAGCAAAGTTACCATTGTGTGTAGCACTGAGCTTTCCCATAGTAAGCTTGAAGTTCCGATACGCCTCAGCAATATTCCTTTGAGCAGCTTGAATGCTTTCGCTTGTCGTGTTATATAATTGCACGCTGGGTTGGACAAAGTCGAGTAATATGGGCTTCGACGCAGCGAGCGCTAGAAGCTGATCCAGGAACTCGTGTTCAACGTCAGGCAGCATTCCCTCCAAAGCTTCGACGGAAAGGAGCGATTTGAGTGTCTCGAGCACCTTTTCGACCTGCCCTAAACCGGACTGGATGCCCTGTTGTTTGCGAAATAAATGTGAGTTCTTATCGAGCGTATGTGTAGCGAAAGAAGTGTTGATCAAACCTCAATTCCGTGGACGATCGTGTTGTCAGCTTGCGCGGGACAATTCAGCACATTGTCAACACCCGCAGAAACATCGCCAAATCCTTGTGCCACATTCGCCAAGACATCGTCAATCCCATCAACTACCTTGGAATTCAGCTGCTTAGCAGAAGCTTTCACTTGAGCTTCCAAATACCCAAAAAAGTTTATAATGTTGAGCATATCAGATTCATCCGCAGGATCGCTGGGTACCGTGACGTTATTCAACCCAAAAGAGAAATCGGCTAGGCCAAAGGCACCCTGCGACGGGAAATTCGCAATCAAATGTTCCATGGCCGTAAATTTGGACACCAGAACATCGAATGCGTTGAGGGCATCTTGATAAGTCTTTGTGAAAGGACTGGTGACCTTGTCAATACCTTAAAAAGCTCTTAGAGTTAGATCGTAGAGAGTGACCTACTAGAAATAGTACTCACCTCTGAGAAACGCAGATTTGATGTTCGCTAGATCGGATAACTTAAAATTCTTGATCATATCGAGATCATACCCGACTTTTGCATATAATTTTAGTTGAGCATCCTAAACCAAGACACTCAGCATTAAGACACGGGTCAAAGAGTTACTATCAAGAATACGTACAAAAATAGTAGCTTCGGTATATCCACCGATATCAAAATAAAGAAACGCCTGTGCGCTATTGTTAATGTCTATCGTCAATTGAGTTCGCAGAACGGATAGAAAGAGATTGATTTTGTTTTTGAAATTGACCAAGGCTCGAACTCCAACCACGCTGGGTCCTGTCGAGGAATGACATCAGACATGCGATAGATGCTCGTTTCTGTCGACGATGATAACTTGCCATATCTCTGTTCCCAAAAGTACTTTGGGGTTTCCATGTTTAACTCGATAGACGTAGAGGTGAGTGACATGGAAACCAACCCTCTGGCTCGTAAAGCGCGGCGAGACAGGCCCATGTCGGTAGTTCCATTCATGACTCTTTCAAACCTATCTTCGTCACTTTGAAGAATATGCTTCAGTTCTTCCGCGCCTTCAATGACTTCTTCAAACGATATGCTACGCTTGTGCTTCTTATATGCTGCATGTGCAGCGGAACGCACACCGTCATCTCCTTCCGTCGCGGCAAGTATGAGAATATCTTCGATATCCGATCCATGATAAGATCCGAGCGACCTTATTGCACTCGCTCGCACAATTTCTGGGAAATGATTCGAAGTTACTTCGCTTCGCTTCAGATGGGAAAGGAGCACTGGGATAGATTTATTGTGTGCGGCATTTCCCAACGCTAGGAGAAGAGTGCCGTGGTAAGCAGCAGCATGGCTAACGTCGATAACTTCGTCGTCAAAATCTCTCTTTGACTTTGCCCGGTCCGAGTTTAGTACATGATATTGACTATGATCGACTTCCGCGACCATTTCATGGAGGGTTGAAACCAATTGTTCTCCTAGAGCGGTATCATTCTTCTCAAAGCTTTTCTGCGCCATCAGTCCAAGCGCTAGAGCAGCGTGTTGCTGAACATTTTCAGTTTCCTCTTGATAGCTTCCGTTGAATGTTGAATACTTTGTAAGCTCTTCAACTATCTCTGCAACTACCTTGGTAGGCTTGGCGCAGCGGGAAATCCCTTGGAGCGCAGTCGCCAGCGTCTCTTCAGGAACGTCACGACGAGACCGAGCCCCAAAAGTCTCTGCAAGAATTGTCTCGCCAACATTGGTGAAGGCTGTACATACTTCCGCTGCAAGATCCACAGCAACATATGCGACATCAGTGTGGACATACTGGGACAAAAGCTTCTGAACAGCAATGGCAGCTTGATTCTGATCGAGGCTTAGCAGTGCTTTACGTGCTCGTGCAAAGCATTGCGCTTTTTCGCCGCGTGTATGGTGTTTACGACTGTGTAGAACAGAAGAGTCATAGCACTCCATGCTCTCAGCCACGATGTTCATAACGGTTTCGAGAGGCACGGTTTTGGCGGCAATTTCGGTGGACAAGGATATCCTGACAATGTTTGCTGGCGTCGCGATAGTATGTGCATCCTTAGTGGACCTTGTATGTAAGAGTTTGAGTGCAGTAGAGCCGGTAGCACTCATCAATAGATGCGCATCTTCAGTGCTGCGTTTCTCGACACCTGATGAGAAAAAACTTAGCGAACTACACGGGAGGACATATTCATGAAAATGCCCTAACCTCCAAAGTTGCCTCGCACACCAGCGCTTCCTTCGGACGAGACATGGTCTGTAATGACAACGCTGTGAATCTCATGCGTCTCTGGATGCTTCTCTATGATTTTTTCGTGATCATGCGTAAAGCGATCTTGCTCTGCTGTCTCTGCGTCATCGGCCTCGTCTCGCCGCGTTAACATCCGCTTGGTGAACCTTAGGTTGCTGGTGGCTGTGCTGGTGCCAACAGAGTACGCAGCATCATGACGCCCGCTCATGTCTGTCTCTGTAGTGTTGAAGTCGGCAGATCTTAATTTCTTCTCTTCATCGTATAATTTAGCTGAAAATAGGTTTGCGATGCTATTTGAAATACGAAATTGAAGTCGCGCTTCGATAGATTTCCAAACTGAACTTTGTAGGCACTTGTATGCACTTACGCCTTTTTGATGTTTAAGACCCCGCGTAACTCATCCGGGTCACTGAAAACTTCCTCCACGATGCCTGAATCGGACACGGCAAATCCAAACCAGTGCAAATTGAAATCATAATCCGTCGGTGTTTCTGAGCGCTTGATACCTCCCTCTGGCAGTGGAGCAGTTACGATTATGCGGGGATGGCCAATGAAGACGAATTGGCATAGGGTGCGGTTGGCTTCGTCAGTATCATAAGGTTTGATTGTGAATTTGGCATCAAGCTTCATTTCGGCATTGCTATCCAAAATTTTGAAGTTACAGTTAACGGGGAGGAAACCCTATCTACTATGTCGATAATGAATATAGACTGGTGGACTCACCCATTCTTATGTGCCGGTTTAACTGATAGTTCTGGACCCGAATTCAATATCGTCTTGCTCATATCAGATATGGATTCCACTTGAGTGGAAATAGAGTACTGATAACTCTTTCCAATCTGGAAATGGGCTGCATAGACATGGCTAGCAGAACAGGCCCAAAATGCGAGCAACAATAACAACTTGATGACGGGACGTTGAGAAATGATGATCGGCCTCTTTCGAGGCTCTCTCGTCTGCGTCGAGCACATTTCTCAAAGCTTTGAGTAATGCGCCCGATCTAGGTATGAGCCTTTCTGGAGCTACGATTAAGACTGGAGTAGAGATCACTGGCGTGTAAAAGATATGGGGAAACTCGAGGTTATTGGAAAGCGCGTCTGCCATGGAATCGCGTCCAATGCACTGAACACACGAACACTCTCCTTGCATCCCTCATCCCGCGGAATTTCGAACTTAACTCATGGATTCGTCACACTGTCTCCCAAAAGGAGGTCCATATGGATATCCTGAATTAAGAATTTTTTTCCCTGAATTCCCACCCAATATTCACTAAGCCTTCAAACCAGCATTAGACATCCTTCAAATGCAAAATGCACATTGGCTCCCAACTTACATTTCATTGTTCATTGTTAAACATCGTTAACTTAGAATCGAACAATACGATCTATCTGAATCGTGCTATTTTCAGATAAATATGGAGAAAATTGGGGGATGGACTTTCTGCAGACCTCCAAATCCGGTCTATCGGTTCTGGACCTGCTGCGAGCTTAAATACCTTAGGTAGGGGGGTAAACCTTCATCGTCCACATAGAGTTCTTTCTGAAAGTAGACGTTGAGTTACCCCCCAGGACTAATCTAATATGCCAACTTGTGCAGTATTCCCGGCGCGTTCGACGCTCGTATTCGTCCTTTCATGGATTGTTCTAACTTTGGGAACGATATCGGAATCGGCGACACTGTCTGCTGCAAGCACACGGCAAAAGACTCTCCATATATCGACATGGTCCATACCATCAAGTTGTACCCCAAGCGGTCAAACGCCGCTGTATACCCCAGATACAGTCTATCTTATCGACACTTGCGTATTCATGGGAGAGAATTACGCAACGGGGTCGACGCCCGCCATGTACTGGTACGGACAGTACAAATGGACTGCAAAAACCGGAACAGTTGAGAAAGTGCAGTGTCTCGATTCAGGTTGTACCGTCTGTGCAGACCCGATTGTAGTGGAGCAAGGTGTCGGTGTAGGACCATGCGCGGCGAAAGGACTGGTGCTGGATGAGGCTTGGAATGCCACGAAAGCCGGACTACCTCGGTCAGTATAATGCTTTTTAATGACGCCAACGTTATTCAATAATCCTAATATCTTTATAATGTCTATAGTCCATATATCAACAACACGGACGTCTTCGTGCAATCATTTCTGCTCTCAGCAAAAGATACTGCTACATATGTAGTTACAGGCACCTTTGATCCATTTTATCGGAACTGCACCTCTGTGTTGACAGACATGTGGGGTATTTCAGAAGTTCGACCTCTTCTTGCCGGGACGTCCCTCCTAAACACATACCTATGCAAGACCGGGAGATGCGACATCGGAACGGATTCGTGCCGGTTAGCATACTCTGCCAGCGCATTTAACGACGTGACTCTGCAACAATATAATGCGTCCGTGAACGACCCTATACCCGCCGTACAAGTTGAGACATCAGAAGATGGCTGGGGAGTATATGATAGCGGTGTGCTGCTGGGCCAGAGTCAAAATGTTTGGCCCATTTACTTGGCACATTTGGCTAACAACGACACGGAGTTACCAACGCCGACTTCAACATACCTACCAACGCCTACGTCAACTTTTGATGCCAACAGTACCAATGGCACGGTTAATGGCACGACGACCAATTCGAGTCCTCAAGGCCGTAGTCTTAGCATTATTCACTCCATAGTGCTAATCGCTTTGACATCCGCAATCATCCAGTTTGTTCTGTAGATCACGATATACCTTAGACTAGATATCAGAATTCATAGGATGTTGCAAGTTCTCTCTTGTTCCCTTATTCATCCTACATACCATAACAAAGGAGTGGGTGCTTTTAGTGTAGAATCTAGTCACAGGAGAGATATGTCTTGTGAATATATAGACTGTCAGAGGTTCTGTTTCTGTGGCCACTCATGAGTATTTCATAATGATATTAAGCTGCACCTGCTTCCGACAGTACAAATTAGATGCATTACATCTAGCACCGCACCAGTGGCAGAAATCTATTGTCCCTGACTCTATACCCTCGCCGTCGCGCATCCCGGTTTCCGGGTCTCAGTCTCGTGACCTCTTAGGCAATCTCTTCATGAGGCGCCTGCTCGGCAGCAGCAATTGTTGCCGGGATTGCAGGTGCTCCTGACTTTTCATCCTTTACGATCTTATCCTTTACATTCGTGTTTGCACTGCTTCTCCCCCTTTCATTTCGCCACCGATGCAAGACGTATACTAAACCACAGGCTAGAAGAATGCATACGACGGATAGCGGAACGGCAACGCCCACACCCACTTTAGTTCTAGCGGTGGAAACTTCTTGATCGACATAAAGCTTGAATGCCTCTGATGACATGTTAAAGTCAGTGGTGGGCGTAACAAGAACGGTGGAGGTTATGGTAAGTGGACTAGCCGTCGCGGTCGTCGTTGCAGTAGTTGTTGTGACCGGGTTTGGGTTTTCGATTGCATACGCCCTGACGATGCCGTCTTGCGATCCAGTAATCAGAAGATTTCCCATAACCGCAACGGCGGAGGCTTTCTTATTAACGTCATCGGTGGCTGCATATCGTCGACCCAACACCCCAGACGCAACATCGTACTGTAAGACAGTGTTTTGCAAAGTCGTATTGGCAGCGGGCCAAAACCATACTGGTCCAATGCCAATGGCCGGGCCTAACCCGGGAATAGGCAGGGTGGCAATCTGCGTTAAAGTTTCGGTTGCGGAATCCCAGGCATACAAGTTCTCGGGTGTGACAATATACGGGGAGTTTGGGATCGCTTTTAACGTGCCAATGTCGTCTGGCGCTATTAAGGTGTCCTTACATGCTGTTTGGTTTAGCTGGTTACACGCAAGAATAGTCCCAGATCCAGGAAGCTTGGGGCCAATGAACAGGGTCGTACCAATGGAGGCCACAGCGGCTGGGTACGTCCTATCAATGTTCTATTAGTAAGATTGTCAGCAAGTTGTAGCGAAATGAAACTTACACAGCAGCTGTTCCCAGAGGATCCCCAACGTATGTTCCAAAAACGCTTTGAGTTTGGCCTCCCGTCGCATTGTTTGGATTGAACGTGTATACTCCATCACCTGCACCGACATACACCATGGAGCCTCCGGTAGCTAGACTATAGGTAGGCCTTTGGCCAGTTGGCGTGTCCCAATGGCCCGTGACTGTGCAGCTCATTAGATCCCAGACCCATACTCCTGCTGGTCCGTCAGGTAAAGTCGTTATCTGATCTGTTGTAAATAGCATTTTATTGTAGATGAAGGCATCTGCAGCTCCCGGTTTCTGATTGACGCTGCCAGTTGATTGGCAGATACGTTGCGCGGTGAAGGTGGTGGGGGAGGTTTGAGAGATTTTGTAAACGTACAGATTGCCACCGACCGTCGCTCCTGTTGTGATAGAAAGGATGTTACCCTGCGTTGCAAGGGTTGTGACTTCGAGTCCATCAGTAGTTATTGGTGGGGAGAAAGTGATGGGTGGGTTGGTAGATGGACGAGGATCTTGTGCACTCATGTTTCAAGCTTGCTTTTGCTTCCGCAAGCTCAAGATGAAGATAAAGCTTGAGACTTTTGTGCTTTTCCTTTAATAGATAAAAAAGTAAGACTTGGGAGCTCCCAATATCCAGCTCTTACTGTCGGATCTTTGCTGCCCGGGCATCTTCAATAGGTAGAAAGACTTCCGCGGACTTTTTGCTTATCTAATGTGCATATAACCGGAATGAATGTGGAAATGTTAAAAGCCGCGCGCGCCAAAAGGGGAATAAAATAAGCTTTGGACATTCCCACGCATGTGGAAAGATACTCGGGGGTTAGTCCCTTGGGAGACAACATGTGTTAATCACCAATATTAATTACTAGACAACCCCTAGAACGTATGTTAACTCGTATGGAATCGTTCTTGCATTTCTATCGCGGGTCGCTGATCGCAGTAAAGGGCCGTGTCTTGGCGAGATCTCTCTTTGCTTTGCTTTGGTCCACCTGCATCGTAGTTTATCGTTTCGTTTTTGTTTGATATCGACGCATTGGAATCCTATTCGCTAACGTTGGGATCGGTCGTCATGATGCGCAGCGGCGCCAAGGAAGCAAGGCATGCGCGACCCCAGGGTTATCATGTCTTGACGCTCTTCCTGGCCATCCTTTTGCCTTCTCTCGTTCGTGCTGGTGGCGGAGGAGGAGGACCTCCCCCGACCAAAACAACCATCAAATGTTATGGATATTACGATTTCCGTACTGTTAATTGTCCAGCTCCCTATTGTGGAGGTTACTCGGTAGCACGGCCCCGCATGACGCTGAATGATGGTCAGCCATGGGAATGTACAAATTCTTTGGGAAAATATTATTGGGCAACGGAAGATGTTGGATGCCGGAGATGTAATTGCGCTACTGCTACTACGTAAGTAGTACCGCGTTCTGCGCGTTTCAAGGATCCAAATGACTTGCCAGAGATGAAGCTAACACTTTCAAAGTACAGGAGTTCCTTGCGCTGGTTCGGTTTGCAATGGGGGAAGACGTACTGATGCTGTAGGAGGCTTTGATGCTGCATGCTCCATAACGACGCAACGCCCAATTGTCACCTGCACGCCAGTGGTATCGCTTACGAATGGAAATAATTTTGAGGAATCCAACCCGGATCTCTTTGGGTAAGTAACTACAATATGGTGTCGATTTAGACGTAGCGCGATACCCCAATACTAACGTTGAGATGCAGATTCAAGACTGCGACCGTGTATGGGTGTTCAGGAACAGTCAACAGTAACGCGTGCAATACTGCGGGAACATGTACCTGCAAGTTCCCTTGGACTTATGGACCTGCTTGGCGATGTGCTGCTTGTAAGCTTTCTAGAGCATTGCATAACTAGATGACTTCCGAACCAAGCCCTCACTAATTGTTCGAATACCGTTTACAGATATCGCACCAGGCATCAGTTTGCTGGCTCCTTTCTCTGCCCAGCTACCTGTTGGCTCTCTGTCTGTGGCGTGGATTGATCCATGGCGTCCGCAACTGTCTTTAAGTGTGGGTAAACCATATCCAGCTCCTCACCGCAGTTGCAAGATACCGCATTACTCACGCGATGATGTTCCCGCAGTGGTACGAATATGTTTTTGGCGGATACAGCAATATTATATTCGATGGTGGATCACCACCCGGTACGATTTGAATTCTGTTGCACTAACCTGAGCGGTGACTAAGGCTTTTGGCAATTAGCGTCTACCACCCAATGGCCGGTTCTCTCGCGTACATTTAAGTTTGTCAAAATATCAACCGGACAAGAGTACATATTCACAAACAGCCCGCCTTCAAATGTACAATGCCCGACACGCGTTGCTCGTGCCTTTTGGTGGACCTGCAACTTTGCCAACTGGGAACCCGTCGGTTTATGGGCTCAGATTAACGCTGCGACGCCGCAACCAAGCGTAATATCAATGGCATTGTATGTTGGAATGACCTCTTCGGTTGGGAAATCCACCTGGCAATCAGTAGGAACATTTGATTTTGTGCCCCCAGGTTATAGCTGCTGCGGTCTTTTTGTGTCTCCAATATTGCGATCTTATTCTTTTGTTCTTTTTTTGCAGATCCTTATCAATGGTTATTGACGCATGACAAACCATCTGTTAATTACGGATCGCCTTTGTTCATAGATGATCGGCTTTCTTTGGGAACTGCCGCCACAGCGTTAAACCTGTTGTCTGTATCAACAACCAAGACCTGGACAGTTCCCCAAGATCGGAATACCGCCAAACTGTCATACTCCCTTTCCTGTGTTCCGCAGCCTGTCAACCGTCCTGCACCTTCTGATCCGGAGTTCGCTGGAAGTGACGCAGCTCCTATGATCTTGGAAGTTGATATGCTGGGATTCATCAATCCACTTCGTACAAACTTTTCTTTGCTTCCGAATGTGTCGGAGGCGTCGTGTGTTGTCAGCGGGATAGCACTCAACCTCAAGGGATTGAGTCCTGATAATGTGTTTGGAGGATCAACCCCAAGCAACGATCTGTACATCGCGTTGCTCAAGGTTGGACCAGTAGTAATTGACGCACTGCGGGATGTAAGTTCAGTTTGGTTTCGTTTCTACTGCGATACTCTTCTTCAACTTCATTGCTCACATTTTTTGAACGACGGCAGGCACAAGGCGACCTTCCTTTAGATAGTTTCGGGATTAATAATACAAACCGATTCTATTGGACAAAATCGGACTCCCTTTATGCATCATGGCATTTGGCATTTCAAGGAAATAGTAAAGTAATGAAGTTCATGCAAGATAAAACCTCAAAGTTTCGGGGTATTGGAAATGATGCTACCGGTATAGTTCAACATACCGTTAAAGAGGTAAGTTGCATCTACGCTAGCGCTGACTCGCTTAGCCCATCGTTCTAATGCGCATTTTTGCATGGTCAAGGCTCTGTATATTGATGCTACTTCGCAACAACCTCTCCTGGATTACATAATTCTACCGCCAAATGCCGGCACATTGCCGCTGACTACTTTGAGGGGCTGTAATAGCTCCTTGGGCACTCTCTTCCCAGGCTTAAATGGAGCACCGGCTTGCACTATTTCAACAAAGATCCTGCCGGGAAATACCGAGGAATTCACCTTTAGCGACAGTAATGTGTTGACAGCACTTTCCGAGTGCCGGGATGTTGGCACATTATATCAATGCGTCGATTGCTTTCACTGCGTTTTCCGGTCAACTGTCACTGCGTTTGATGCTGCTGCTAATTCCGTTTGGCAAGAATCTTACGGTGTGTATTACGACGGGACGGACCCCAACATTGCGTCAATGATATTCCCGTCCAAGAAAGCGTACTTGGGCATGTACTGGTACGGTGACCTTAAGGACATGAAGATTGACACCAGAATATACGAGCCGGAGTCAGCCTTGTCAAGCATCGCACTGAACATTGGTGTAGCGGATTTCGTGGCTCGAGACAGTCAGATTGCAAATTTTTACGGCACATATCCAATCCTTCAGCGTTTGAACAAGACAGATGGATCGCTGCTTGCCATAGCGGATGGATGGTCCGGGTTTTCCTTGCATGAACAGATATATAATGTAGAAATTGCGGTCCGCAACATTCCCGGTTTTTCCACCTCCAAGTCCGCACGGGTCATTCCGGACGCAACCCCGCCAAGAGTTGGTTCTGTCAAGGCGCAGCAACTCATATATAATCCCGAAAGTGCTGATCCACTGAAGATATCGGCAGTGGGATTTGTTGACACTGAGAGTGGTGTGAGAGATTATTATGTGGCCTATAAGGTTGACACCAATCTTCACTGCGCAAAGAAGAACTTTGTCTGGCCGCCGGAATCTGGGAGTGGTTGGCAGCTTGTTCCTGATGCAGCGGTTGACAGATATGACGATATGGGTGCGAAACCCAGTCAGACCTTTAACATCACGTTGGGCCAAAATCAAACGCAATCAGGAATGCTGTATGTAGCAGTTGCTGCAGTCAATCATGCGATTTCACCGTACGGAGCAGTTCAGAAGAGTGCAACAGTGACGTGCGGCTGGCCTATTGTGTTGGTAAGTTGGGCAAAATTGGTTGATAATTGTTGAGAACTTCATGATGTCGTTTACGCTCATTTTCAATTTGTAGGATAATGGAGTGCCCACTGTGTACGTGAAAAGTCTTATCGTTGACAATGACATGACCTTCAGTACCGAGGAAAATAGATGGATGGTCAACCGTGTAGTCAATCTTACCTGGGCCGCTTTACATATTCCTGGCGTTTCATATTACAATGTCAGCTTGGCGGTTGACTCGGTCCATATTGCTGACTATTCAGGAATACGATACGACTCGGATACCATCCTTTTCCAATCCCCGGCGGCTATACCTGTGGACTCTAATTTCACGGTGGCGATCACAGCTGTCAACTACGCTGGGATGGTTGTCGGTCCAAAGATTGTGTCGATCATTGTTACAACTCCTGAACCTGATCTCAGTACTTGTGCCTCGGCGGTTATTGTATCGCCTAATGACCCGTCGCCCGGAGTTGGAACAATAAAAGTCGACTGGACACGTTGTGTGTCCCCTACCGAAGACGTGGATCACTGGAATTATTATGTTTTACCCGTTGGTTCTGAGATTAATAGCACGCTAACCGGTACCACTGTATCGGCAAATATTACTGAAATTACGGTTCCGGTCCAGCACGGTCCTCATTCGATGGTTAAAGTATGCATTGCGGGTTATCAGCTCGATGGAAATGTCACCAGCGCTTTTTGTAGTTCACCAGCAGTTGTGGACACTACGCCGCCGATCCCGTCTGGAAGTGTGCGAGACTTGCATCCGGTGTTCGGTGTGCCTGTTCAGACTTCAGTGAACGCAACAGCGCTACGTTTTGGGTAAGTATGGGTGTGTTGCAAATATGTGCAAGTAACTTAGTAAATCTTTTGAATTTATAGATGGGATGCCTGGATAGACGCCGAGACTATTCTCTCCAATTACACTCTCACCCTCGTATGCAACAATAACACGATTGGAGAGCCCGTCACACTGCCTGCAAATCAGCAGGAGTATACGTTCATGACGAACCAGACCGACACTTTCCTTAACTATACAGGTGTCGTACTTCGGCCGGGGGATTTTTGCTATGGGAAAGTGTATGCGACCAATGTGGCAGGGCTATCCAGTGAGCCTGTCAGGTCACCAGGAGTGAAAATCGTCAACATTGAGGTCACCGAGCAACCAGGTTTGAAAGTTCTAGATGGAGTTTCGGTTAGCACGAACGCTGCTACACTCCACTTGTGAGTTTTCCTCTTTGGGCAACTTTCCTGAGAACATGTATATCTGAGCTGATCTTTTACTTTGCAACCATTACAGCTTTCCTGCGCTCCCGGATGCAACTTTCCATGTAATGTGGAACGGCTTCAGATCCTACGCAGATTTGCACAATCTTACCTACGAAGTGAGAATCACTAATCCGACAAATCCATCTTCAGTCAATACATACGCGTTTGAAAAAACATTGGACGCCGTCCTTCCGTTACCGAGCAGTGCCGGCGCATACTTGCTCAATCTTAATCTGGTAGACTCAGGGACGGTGATATCGACTGTTACCTCGAATGAGGAAATTGTGGTACTTTCGGAAGGGCCCGTCAGAACTCCTCCGCTCACCCCAACCAATAACTATTGCGAAATCCATTTGAATGAGAAAGACGGCAACAGAAGCCTTGGCGACTCGTTGCTTAAGGCATATTGGCCCCCATTTGAGGATCCGTTCGGTATTATCCAGTATCTGCAAGTCGCCTTTAGACAAAAGAACCACCCAACGTTTTTTTCTGAATGGACGGATGCTCGGGCGAATGCAACCGACACTGAGTTTGTGGGAACGGTTAGTTGGCCGTACGGGGTACCCGAGGTATTGTGGTCGCAAGACATGGAATGCGTTGTGGAAGCTGTCGATTTACTCGGCAACCGCACGCAATTTATCATGCCCGGTTGGCTATCTGAATATCCGTGGTTTCAACCTACAGCCGTTGATGTATCGAGTTGGACGGTTATCGGGAAGCCCAAGGGTGGGGACGACTATAGTTTCTTTGAGGATGTCTCGGTAACGCCAAATAGCAGCTATGCCATCGGATGGGCTGGGTTCCCTGCATTTGCTGCTGGTGGAGAGACGCTGGCAACCCTTTCGTACAGTGTGGGCGACAATGCAAGTGCCCAAGCACCCAACTACTTTGACAACATAATTCCGACGACGCAGGTTGATATCGCCAATGCAATGATAATACTCTACAGCACGAAGGTGCTGGATAATCCGATCCCGTTTTACGTTTTCCAAATTCCGAATTTTGTTCTTCCGACATATCACACAGGTTAGCCGTTATTAATGTCTTGCAAAAAGTAATCGCTGGCTTGAAACTGACTATCGTTATAGTATACGCATGCGTTACGGTCACTCAACTTGCATCAGGGAATTCCACTGTTGCTTGCACTGATGGTATTATGTACAGTCCTACCCCGCCGGTGCAAGGAACAGTTTCACTGAATAATGCACACGGGTTTGTGACCTCTTCCACATCGTTGACGATATCGTGGGGTGGATTCTATGTCAATGGATGGCCCAACACGGATGATAAAGGAATTGCCTATTTTGCTTGGGGCGTTGGAAGTTACCCCGGTTGGGATGATGTTGTGTGAGTTTGATGATGTGTGAGAGCGTCCGAAATCAGTGCTAATTTCTGCTTTTCAATATAGGTCGACTCGTCAGGCGTCAAGCTTGCAACAAATTGGAATGGCACTTGGATTGAATCTCCTTAACGGCGAGACCTTGTACGCCACGGTTACTGCTTACAGCCACGCTGGTCTGGGTACCACATCCATATCGCCGGCAGTCATTGTTGACTATACCGGTCCAGTTTCGGACGCAGGAATTACCTCCATAAGCGTTGTCCGTAACACAGATGGATCCTATAATGTGCGAGCTATGTGGGATACTTTTGACGACTTGGAAAGTTCAGTCGTATCTGTAGGATGGATAATCGAAACGGAATATGGGCTGCAGGATGTAGTGCCGTTGACTCCCACCGATACACCCATATTCGCGACCGGCAAATCGCTTACATTGTCGTCTGGCGTTGAGTACATTGCTCGGGTAGTTGCCACAAATGGAGCGGGTTTGACCCAAGAAGTGACACGCTCCTTTGAAGTCGACAACATTGTTCGAATCGTGTATGTAGCCAGCGACGGGCCGGAAGGCGCATGGAGTCCTTACACTGGATTAGCATCAAAGTATTCCTTTTCTTGGGAAGTTACTGGTCATCCATCGTACTTCCTTGTTGCCGTAGGGACCAGGGCAAAGCAGCACGATGTTGAAGGATGGGTACGACTCAGTGGCTCCGCAAGGCAATTCGACCTGGATTTGAGTGATACAAGCTTCACAGATGGAGAGACGCTCTATGGTACAGTTTACGCTTTCGATGCGAATGGAGTGTTGGCGGATCAAGCGACAACGTCCGGCAAGATCATAGACTCCAGTCCACCTGCCATTGGAAAGGTGGTGCATGGTGCAATCCCTTACATACATCAGCCTTTTGTGGACTCTGTCGATCATATCACAGCATCTTGGTCCGGGTTCACGGATGCGGATAGTGGAATCGCTCTTTACGAAGTTTGCGTGGATTCATCTCCAGTTGCAAATGGAACTCTACCGTGCAGCAACCTTGATTGGAAGCCCGTGAATGACAGAATTTCCCAGATGCATTTGGTTATGGAACATCTCATGACGATAGGTTCCACATACTATGTCAAGGTAACCGTTAATGAATTGCTCATATATTTTGTCGCGCATTTAAGCTCACAAATGCTGGTTCCAGGTGAAAGCGACCAATGGCGCCGGATTGTTCACAGTTGGGGTGTCACCTCCTATTCTGATAGATGCTGGTGTACCATCAGGAGGCAGTGTTACCGTTGGCTTTCCGTCGCAGGATAGTAATTTTACGTTGATGACATCGCATTCTGATCAGCTTTATTATCTGGACAGAACAGGTATGGTGCCTACCTTTCTGCATTTGAAACATGTTCACGATCATAGTGATAACGGTCATCTTTCAGTTATTCAGATTACTTGGGACTTCTCCACGGCCCCAATATCAGGAATTGCAAACTATGATGTCGGACTTTATGAAAAGTATACCAGCATGCGCATGACACCTCCGACGACAGTTCCAGGTGGAATAAATTCCTGGACCTTTACTGCCGCAACAGGGGATTTCACTCTGGAAGAGGGTCGTGAATATGTGGCAGTGGTGCTAGCAACCAGTGGCTCTCGTGTTGTGGGCGAAGTCAAGTCAAGGTCTTTCATGGTTGATTCAACAGCGCCCCCGGCAGGAGCCGTTGATGTTACTTTCTTGGGCGCTGTGCCTAGGGCTAGCTCTACCAGTGCAGCTACGTTCGGCGTCAGCAGTTCTGGAGTCGCCTCAAGCATCTCTTCCGGTATTAGCAATTCCGGAGTCGCATCTAGCATCTCTTCCGGCATTAGCAGTTCCGGAGTCGCATCAAGCATCTCTTCTGGCATTAGCAATTCCGGATTTGCATCAAGCATCTCTTCCGGCGTCAGCAGTTCCGGAGCTGCATCAAGCATCTCTTCCGGCGTCGGCAATTCCGAAGCCAGCTCAAGTATCTCGTCCGATAACATCAGTGTAACTGAATCTGACTCGAATGGTACCCCCTCCCCTACAATTCCGACGAGCTCCCAATCAGGTAGCGACTCGGCGGCGATGACCGATTATCAATCCAGCTCTACCATTTCGCCTTTGAGCACCCCAAGCATACTACCTGATCTTACCAATTTCCGCGTAAATTTCCAAGGATTCTCAGATGCCGCATCTGGGGTTGTCCTGTACAGAGTGGATGTGAGTGTGACATTTCATACCTGCTTGTTGTCAAGCGGACAGCTTATCGCCTATTTTGCTAGGTCGGACTTCATCCTTACGGCGCGCAAGTCGCAACCGTGGAAGTGAACGACACTTGTGAGACTTGTTCTGCAATTTTCTCCGCAGAATTACGCAACAGGGCAATGTATTTTGCAACAGGTTTGCTTCTTGCTCTGCTACTCGTACGCCTTTGCTTAACTTTCTAATCTTTCGGAAAAGTTTACGCACGGGACGCTGCCGGGTTGTGGTCTCGTCCAGCTACGAACGGCCGTGTGTATAGCGCAAATGGTGATGTTTTGGTACAAACCACGACCAATCCACCCTTTCAATGGACCATTGACGCCGCGTTGCCGACCGTGCTCGACTTTGTTGCCCAAAATGGTTCTGCAATCACGCTCACAGGCCGAGGTCTGAATAACTTTATAATTTCAGGAGATGGCGCTATACAGCCGAATTTCACTTGCCTTTATACCCTTGACGCGGCGACAGATTCGACATCTATATCAACGTCACTCTCTCTGAGCGACCGCGCCGAAGCTCAAATATTGTGTCAAGTACCAGATCTTGGGTTGGGAAATGTCACTACCTGGGTGAACTTGACAGTGGTTCCTACGGACGCGGTGTACGGCACGTCTTCAATGATCTGGCTGCAGCATATGCGTAAGTTTCAAACTTTCGAGAAAAGAAAGTGTTTCCAGAGGTCAGCATAATGATAGATACTTCAACTCTCCATTTGTAGGGCGGCCCGTTGAAAGCACATCCTGGAGAACAAATAGTACACCTACGATCGGTTTGGCTTCCAGCGATCCCGCTTACCGTCTCACACCATGGACCTGGGCGATAACATGGCCGAATGATTTCACGGATGCCGCCTATTATCAGATTGAAAGCTTCAACAACGTGTTTGCTGTTACATCTGGTCGCTCAACCTCTGCCCTTTTTACGATTGATGCCTTGAGTACATTAGCTGTGTTTGCACAAGCAGGTCCCTTCCAGTGGACAGTATGTGCGTTCTTCTACGGTGACCGGACTGAAAGTGTGACTCGACGTGACTGTATTCAATCAACCCCAGTTCATGTGGATCTCACCATGCTCCAAATCAACCCACTTGTGAACGCCGGATACGATAGTGCTATTCCCACTGCGGTTCGAATAGTAGGCTATGGATCCGACGTTGGGTTTGAGTATGAGACGGTTCAATTTCAAGATAATACCACCCGTATCACCGCAAACTGGACAGACTCCTTCATCTTCCCTCCAACAAGTGCAAAGCAAGTGGCGCGGTTTGATATCTTTGCAGGCTACAAACCTTACGAAACAGCAAGTCAGATGTTCATTGTAGGCTCCGCACCTACGCTGACAAACGTCTCGTTTGATGCGGCACTCGTACCAGGTGTGCCATATTATGTAACGGTTGTAGCATGGGATAACACTGGGCTTCCGAGTATACATACTTCCGCGCCATTGACTTGCGACATAACGCCCCCAACTGTGTACGTAGCTTGCATTGTTTGAATGGTTGGCCACAGATTTGCAAACTGACTTACAATTATTTGTCTGCTAGTGGTACGATCTATGATGGGAGTTTGACATCTGTTTCTACCACGGCATATCAAGCGATTACCACAGAATTGCAAGCTTATTGGCGTGGATTCGTTGACTCTGAGACCGTACTAAAACAATACGAGTACCAAATTTGTTTGGACAATAGTACTTGCGTCGGAGCTCCACGATCGGCGGGGATGCACACCAGAGCGAAGGTGACAGATCTTCAGCTAGAGCATGGGCAGCATTACCATTTCCGCTTGAAGGTAAATTATCTGTTTGCATAACCTATGGTCAGCAAGCGCTAATGTGTTCCATTGCCGGTATTGTAGGCGCAGAATGCCGCTGGTCATTGGACGAGCACCGTCTTCTCACGGGGAGTGACGATCGACACGACTCCACCCGTAGTTCAAAGTGTTCGATTTGGAAATGGTGGACCCGTAGCAATTGCAAACGATCCAACCTTCGCCCTGAATTGGCATTTTACGGACCCCGAATCACCTATCGTTGAATATGAAGTACAAATCGGAACAACGAACGGAGGACCTCAAATCCTTCCTTTGACGTCCCTCTCCACCCAAACTTCGCTTCCACTCTCTGGGCTACACCTTGAGCATGGAACGTACTTGTATGCATCTGTGATAGCGAAGAATGCTGCTGGGTTGACCACAGTCGCACATAGCTCCCCTGTTATGATTGACTTGACTCCGCCAAAAGTTGTGGGAACGATAGTGGCTTTCAATGACATGAACTTCGTGCAAGGAGTTGGAAGCGTGGAAGTTGTGGCCACTTGGGATAACGTTTTTGTGGATGGGCATTCTGCAATTGTTGAATATCAGGTCAGTTACTCTAGCTAGACTCACAAATCTGGTCGGTTACAATTGGTATTAGCTGCCATTGCTGACTCGCTTGATGGTTTGTTAGTATGCGGTTGGGAAAGTCGGACAACCCACATATTTCATGAATTTCACCAGCGTCAACACAAATGTGTCGATTCCATCTGGCACGCTGATCACGGTGGGCGATGGTGACCGAGTGACTGTTTCCGTCAAAGCTGTTAATCAAGCTGGTTTATCCATCATGGCGACATCCGCGGTAAACATCAAATTGATCGTTGTTTAACCAATTGCCGAATCGCTAATTACGTTTAATCCAGGCGGTTGGGTTCACGAACAGCCCACCATCCTCGTTCACCATCCAACTGTTGGACCCTAGTTTGCGAACGCTGACTACATACTACGACGGAGTCTATTACATTCGTTCGGCGGCAGATCTCTACATAAGACTTGTAGGACTAAGTGATCTTACAAGTGGAATCGCATATCTGGAGATGCAATTGAACAAACTTGGAGATACGACGCCCGTGTTTGATTGGACACGGTTCAACGCTAGTAACGAAGTGAAATTGAATGCACCTGTGGTGGAAATTGGTGTACCACTCAGCGTTTCGGTGAGGGCTACTAATCGAGTGGGATTGACAGCCAACGCACAAAGCGATTTGTTTATCGTAACGCCTGGACCTCCAGACCCTGGTACGGTTGGCAATTCTTCTGTCCTCTTCTCCGTCTTCGTCAGTTCAAATGATATTGACCCACATCCATCTCTTCTGGTACCACTGTAGCAACGGTGCAGTTGTCGTGGAACCTGGACACAACCCCGTATAGCATTGCAACACTTATTACCGGTCCGCAAATTTCCAACGCAACTGGACCGCTTACCTATACGCTAGGAGTTTTCTCCAGTCGGACTATTTCGGCATTTAATGTCTACCCACGGTCAACGATAACAGTTCCCGGCAACGGAAGCAGCCTCTCGATTGACATCCCACTCCCTGCTGGCATATCAGCTTACCGAACTAATTTTACAGCTGTTCTTGAGGCAACAAACCTGGTTGGAGATAGCAGGACGGTTGTAACACTTTTGGAAGGACTTGCCGGGCCAATTTGAACTGGGAAGAGTATGATAGATTTTGTATATATACGTGGGGAACAGACCGGCAACTACAGACGGTCCGCGTGGAGGGCAGACGCGACGGAAGGTTCCTCTGTGCGAAAGCTCGGTTGCACCTGTATTGTAAACTTAAAAATGCCTCCACAATAAATATGTTTATATCAGAACTAGGTTGCAAAATGTGCTCCAATAACAGATGTCCGGGGGATGTTGTACCCTGGCAGGTGTACAATAGGCAATCTACTCCTGCTTCCTGATGGGTATGACGCTCCTTTAAATAAGATACTGGTATGATTATCAATGTGAAAAGAAGTCCTATATTGTAGCCCTATTCGGCCAGAAAACGGTGTATCAACTGTACAGAACACGATCCCTCCCCAACTGCACTAGCAACACGCTTGACGTTTCCGGACCTCAAATCGCCAACGGCGAAGACACCTGGAAGCGTAGTTTCATATAGCATTGGCTGCCGTTTCCGCTTCCAACCTGCTGCGTGCAGCTTTTCGGGGGTAATGTCCGATCCCGTCTTCAAACGATTGCAAAATTGGGTTAGTAATGTGATCGAAAGTCTATAGTGAAGCGACAATGTTCACCTGAACGAAGCCTTTCTCGTCGATTGCTATCGAACAGCCGCGAAGCCAATCTGTATTGGGTTCAGCTCCAGCCATGCAGAAGATGATTGAAATGGGGTGCGTTTCTCGCTGCTTTGTCTCGTTATTCTCCCAAGTGATAGCTTCCAGTTGAATACCGTTTTTTTTCGACAAATGGAGCTCAACAAGTTCGGTATGAGTATGCACGACAATCTTTGGCGTTGCTAGTACGTTTATGGACGTGTTCAAGCTCATTCCTGTGAATGAGAAAAAACTGCACGACTTACCCTCGATACGCTGGACCAGATACTTCGACATGGTAGCGGACTAGGGGTAAGAAAAGATCAGGACTGCAAAGACATCTATGTTTGCGGCATCAATAACTGACCAGCCCAGAACCACGAACAAGCATATGGACCTACAAATAATGTGTCAAGTTTCGCTGTCTTCCAGTGGCGATAAATGATGAACATACCTTTGCTACCGATTTGCTTAAAAATACCGCGGCTTGCCCGGCACTGTTAGCACCACCAATTATGGCGACCTCCTTGCCCTCACACAGCCTCGCCTCCAGTCCAGTTGCAGAATAAAATATTGCGATACCCTCAAGCTCCTCCCAATGTGGTATATGGGTTAATCGACGATACTTGGCCCCGGACGCGATGATAATGGTTCGCGCTTTTAATGACTGTTTGTCGTGGAGATGAACCCTGTAAAGAGTACCAGGACCAGCTTCCAACTGTTGAGCTTTGGCTGGAATAATGAACTTGGCGCCGAACTTCATGGCTTGCAGAGTGCCTGCCTGAGCCAAGTCTTGGCCAGATATGCCAAGGGGGAACCCTATGGAAGGAAATATTCAATTGCACCTTGCAGACAGGAACATGTATCGATCGGTATTTACCGAGATAGTTTTCAATCTGAATTTGGCTAGTTCAGTTCAAGGGAGTGAGCATACAATAAATTACGACTAGACTATACCTTTGACGATGACCCTGCCTGTCCGCCTGGCGCTTCCTGCTCGACCATGGCCGTGCTCAACCCTTCGCTTGCAGCATAAACTCCAGCAGCCAGTCCTGCTGGGCCTTTGGAAAAAGAATTACTATTTCGAGCTTGGGCAGTTGCCGCATCCACTAAGCGTGGTAATGCAACGTACCTGCTCCAACAATAATTGTCTCATGCACGGTTTCCTCATCGACGTCGGATGTAATTCTCAGGTATTGAGCCAGCTCACAAACTGACGGGCACCTGAGGACATCTTTACCATGTCCAATGACAAGCGGCAGATCCTCTTCAGATACACCGAAATGGTTGAGCTGTGGGCAAGAAATGTTGGTAAGACGGGTTTCCATTCTTATAACATGCACGGCCAATCCGCCTTACGATGTTATAAGTTTCTGGATCCTGTTCGAGATCCACATACAAGTACGGGTATCCATTACGAGAAAGAAAACTTTTTAGACGCATGCAGTCGGAAGAATAGCGAGAGCCAAGTAAGATGATGTCGCCTTTGTGTCCTTGTACCTGATGACAAGGTTACGTCTTCTGAAGGGCAACCGTATGGAGAACTCTTTACTCACCAGAAAAACTCTGCGGGCAATGAAGGTCCTCATTAACTTATCGGACAGGTCAACATCCGTCTGAATAATTGTTTGTACGTTGCTACGGGATATCTCCAGAACCTTATGTGGCCAACATTAGACAGGCAATGGCTACGGTTTTAAGAGTCATTGCTTACCTCTGAGTCTACAGCTGCTTTCACACGCACAACCGATCTCCCATTCAAAATATCTGTATCTCCGGTGAACATACCATCTTCAATATCCGCAATGTGCTCTTCAGTCCCATCGCCATAGGGCAGTACAATGGCCAGTTTTCCATGTAATACGACATGAAAGTAGTTACTTTCTCCTTCATGAACCAGGATGGTATCTTTAGGCACATGCACAATCGAGCCGAATTTCTTAAGCCGCTCAAGCTCGTCCTGATCGAGGACTGGAAAGAGCTCATTACGTTGACTCTCAGTCAATCCACGTGTAGAAGGTGTGGAAGCTCGTACAATCCTTGGGATTGCCGTTCTGCAAACATCCGACGCCAGTTCATTGGTAAAGTTTGCGGGAGCGGGTTTAACAGTCGGACCGTTCTTTGTAGTTGCGGGCATGGTAAAGAATCGGAGATGAACGTTAACTAAAAGTGATCGGAAGAAGCAAGATCTTCTCGCAAGTTTTGGCACGATGAAATTCCGATGGATTATAAAACGGGTTGCCATATATAAGGCGGCCCACTAATAGGCGAGATCTTATAACTTTCCATGTGCTATTTTCATGACACAACCTTTTCTCAAGGACAAGACCACCAGCCTTGTCAGACCCTGGGAGAGCGCCCGCAGGCTCTTCTTCTTACCCAGCGTGAATATGTCACTTATGGTTGCTGTCTGTGCTGCGTTCTTTGACCAATGATCTCACACTGCTAGAGAAACCTATGGTACGTAAAAAAAATTACAGTAAGTTAAACGTACTTTTAAAGGTACCATTGCCACGTGCAAGACGAGCATTCCACGGCAAAAGTAAATATGTGTTACCAACCTTGCTAGTAGATATCTTCCAGGGACTGCTTGATGAGCCGAACCAACAATGCATAACCGCCAGCCAGACCCAATAGAATGTTATTCAGAAGAGGAACTCACCATATTTGCGCTTCAAATCACATTTGTGTGAAAGCAGTTATCGAGATGTTCGGGATGGGCACACTAGGATCCAGAAACATTCAAAGAGCATCATAATTCAAAAGATTCTCTGATTTGAAAAGCCCAAAGTCTGGCTAGTGGAATCAAAAACCCAATGTCGACGGGTGCTGGCATCTCTTACTGTGCACATATATAGTCTAGCCATATCAGTGTGGATTCACAAAAGGCCACTTTTCAGCATCTGCAATCGCCTTGTGAGTACCAAACGAAATATATCTTCGTTGTTGCCTGTCTGTACTGTTGCTCCTCTGCGGCTTGAGCTGCTTGGAGTACCTTACTGAGACCCAGTGCGTCATCAGCGTTACCCTCGACATCGCAGATCGAGATCTATGAGCTTAATGAGGTATCTGCTTCAGCCTTCTTTATAACATGACGAGGTGGATATGCACATGGACGCACTGGCAGGTTTTGCGGCAAGGACTGTCCGGGACTTGAGACGGTCGTGGACCCATAGGACGATTGCACTATTTGGTCTTTTTCATTTAAATGCTTGGAATGAGTACCCAGCGTGTGAATCCACATCATTAGGCACGACGAGAACTAATTGATTTGAAAACTCATACAAGAGGATATCATAACTACATTATATTCTAACCAATACACACATACCTGCTGCACTTTATAATTATGTACGAACAACACATACTCCCACTTTGCTTCCTCCGCTAGTAAACTACTTCTTCAACGGAGGCCCATTTTTATCATACAGAAAACACTGATACTGTGTCGCACTAGCCTGCAGGCCAGCGGCAACGACCGCCTGGTAATAGGTCCAAGCAGTGGCCTTGCAAGTCGAACTACTTCCACAAACCCTCTTCATATCTTCATAAAAGGCCTTATCGATCCTGGCTTTGTTCTCGGGGGTGAACTGGCCAATGGCTTTATAGTTCCTATAGTTGAAATCATGGCGCCAGCAAGCCATGCGAAAGTCATAGCCAAACGGCTGATCTGGGGATTTGGAGCAATAGTCTGTTTGCCAGTTGAACTCGGGGGCCGAGGATTGGTTGTCGTGGGCCTTTGCCCATGAATTGTAGCTTTCCGTTGTGGGCTGGCTCCAAGCGGCGAGCTGAGAGGCCTTGTCGCGGCGTTCAAGGATGGGCGAGGCCAGAGTGTTGACCCAGAGGACAGACACCGTTAAAAAGAGAGCTATGAGGAAGCGATGAATCATGATGGGTATAGATGAGGTCCAGTTCAAGGCCCTGTCCCGCAGACAAACGATACGCAGGGGAAGTCGCTGGGACATGGCCCTTTATATGCCTGCAATACGACAGCGGACTTGTACTCCCGCGAACATCGAAAGATTGTCACTCATCCAATCCCTTCTTTGTCAGTGCAGGGTCGGCACACAATCTTGTGGTCGTTTTTAAGCAAAAACCTGCTGTGGTCAGCAGAGTCGTGGAACGCGAAGGTCAACAATTTCGAATATCAGGAATGAAATCTCTGATCCCATTGTTTGTGGAATAATACTTTGTGTTGCAGGTTAACTCGTTCGATAGATGCAACATTTACATCGTACCAGTGTTATGCGACTTGCAAAGAGTTACGAGACAGCAGCATGGCAATCGCTAGACATGCCCACGATATAAGAAAAGTGTTATTCGAGCCACGGTAAGATGACCAGGCCACTTTGAATATCCAAGTCCATTTGTTCTAAAGACTTATTAAAATAATAAGACTGCGATAGCAGGATAGTTCCAATATAAGATCATTTGTTTTAAAGACTTTCCAAAACAATAAGACTGCGAAAGCAGGATAGTTGCAATATAAGAATGGTACTCACATCTTCTGCTCACTGGAAGGGAATTGTAAATGCAAATGCTAAGAGGGCTTCCTGGCAGTGGTTGGGACGCTACCCTCTACAGCCCAGTACCTCCATTGTAGGACTCCATACACTGGTTTTCCGTGGTCCCGTGCGGGATATCCGAACCATTGAAGAAACCAAAGAGAAAAGATGAAATGAACGGGAAGATAATCAGTGCCAGTTTATGATATTAGAAAGGAACAGCTATACAAGTGTGTTTGCAAGCCGACTAGATTACACCCCGCAACAAAATGAGAACACCAGAACATCACCCAAGCCCACATCCAATCACACAACTATGACCCCCGCAACAAAACGGGACTCTTGCAGGACGAAGACGTCAGGTGCCGAAGTGATTCTCAAACTTCTTCGACGCATCTCTGCAGTTGCAAACGGCGCAGGTGTGTTCAACGATTTCGTTCTTCCGGGACTTGTATAACAGGTCACTTGAGGAAATACGCCGCAGCTTCTAGCTCGGTAGTCGACACCGAATCAGCGTCCTCTGATTTTGTATTGGAGATCCGCCGCCGATGCTACCCGCGTCATCGTCACCGATAGGAAGATTCTTGATTTTGCATTGGAGCGACCCGATGGAACATTTCGTACAGTAATTCCATTGAGCGTTCTATACGACTTTGTTCAGAAGATGACGATGATAGCGAAGATCCCTCCAAGCACCGGAGAGCGTCTACCGGTTTTGGACAAGGACACCGACGCTTCACAGTTCACCCAAATCGCACTAATACTGGGTTTGGCTAGACAAGAAGACTGGCGAGAATTGACTGACACTCCGTCATCGATGCAAATTCTGGCCAACCGTGGAGCACTCCTCTTTTCCGCCGCTGCCACTCTGAAGTCACGCTATCTGGAGCTCAAGAGCGGATGTCAAGCAGGAAGAACAGCCCATCTTGCCGCGAATTCAAAGAACCACTACATCGTCTACCACAACGTGAAGGAGGCGATCAAGTGCATTCTCGCGCACGAACCTGTTCTTGTGGAGCGACGATGGCTTGATCCGACCGGTGCTCTCATGGCCCGCTATGAGATGATCAATGTCCCGTACTGAGAGATGGCTAATCCACCGGTATCCAAGAGGCTGCAAAGCCTCTTGAAACTGGAAGATCACTTGGGAGGGTTCTTCTGGGCCGCCTTCGCCGAAGATCATCGTCCATATTACAGCTTTTGGTATAAGGAAAGGGCGATTGAAGACATCCAGCCATCGGTGTCGGCATCGACTCGCTACCTCAGATGGGTCGGCCCAACAGGAGTCCCCAACCTCGGACAGACCTGCTACATGGGGGCTCCAATTCAGTGCATGTTGGCAGTTGATTCGATCACGAGGATTTTGGGTGAACAAAGTACGTCGAAGAACGTGATCGACACGGCGCCGAAAAAGCTGAACATGGAGCGGCGCATGGCGAAGAACCTGAATGTGGAGGACTTGCGCAGGGCTTTGCTGCAGCAACAAGGAGTAGGGGAAAGACCAAGACCATGATTCGCATGACCTCATGCAGGACCTGGTCGTGCAGTCCGAGACGTTGAAGACCTTGATATGCAGCAAACACCGAGCATATATCCAAGTGCAAGAGCTGCAAGACGACAACAACTGCAGAGAATGCATTCACCTCCCTGCAAGTTCCAATAAACCTGCCCCAGCCATCCGTGCTTGGTTTGACGCCCAAACTGAGTAACCTCCAGGAAGGAAATTGTCGAACACACATGCGCCGTTTGCAACGTGGCGATGAGTCAAAGAAGGTAAGAATCACTTCGGCACCTGACGTCTTCGAAGGTTCCTGGTTTTCCGTTTTGTTGCGGGGGTCATAGTTGTGTGATAGGATGTGGGCTTGGGTGATGTTCTGGTGTTCTCATTTTGTTGCGGGGTGTAATCGGATGATCGCCAAAGCCCACTGAGACATCCACACGCTTGTCAAAAACAAACAGCTGAACCAGGTTTTTGGATGTGAGACATAGGAGCGCAGAGGTACTCCTTTAGGGTTAGGACGGTTTCGACGGTCCAGGCGACATTTCTGAGAGATATCGCAAAGTATGCATCTGAACGAATCCAATTAGTACACGCATTGACAAGGATATCATCGACAAAAGCACGCACCCAAGAAAAATGCACAGCGTGGTATCACCAGCTAATCCCTTTTGCGTCGGAAGGACCCCATCGTTTGATCCTGATCAGGTTGTGCAGATTATTGTACTTCCGTGTATAAAAGCTGATCTTGGGACGTTGTCGAGAGGAATAGCTTGCCGTGGCTCGTGGCTCGAGACCGTGCAGGCCTCTGACTGGGCAGATAAAGATGGGGAGATATCAGCCAGAGATGAGTGACGTTAGCAG